GTGATAGATTTGATGTCTTAGAGTGCCCGATGGTTTATTTATTTGATTTATTTTTGACTCCTTTCTTTCCCATTCTCTGGTTTGGTTGTTCTTGACTTGGACAGTCCATGTTGGATATCTGATGTAGAGATGATGGCTTGGGTAGGTGGCCCCGCAGCCGTCCATGGGTTGAGATTCGCCCCTACCACTCTTCTGCGCTGTCAGATTGACCTCAAGGTCTTGATAGACACTTGGTAGAGTAGACTGGTAGATTGTAGATGCTAGACACCGTGTTACCGCCATCTTCAACCAGCCCTAGTTCCAGACAGAGTTACATGCCATTCCATATCGAGTCCATACCAACAACCCCACAGTGAGTAATGATACCAAATAAATCATCAACCAAGATAAAATAAATCGACAAATCAATAAGTCAGATTGATGTGAATGCTAATATTAAAAGTAAGTACTAGTAGACTGATTAGTGGAACTCCTGCATCGCGGAAGGTCTACCATCAGTCGGTGCAGCTATATAATGCGGTAACCATCTCGATTCGTTCGGCGAGGGGGGAGGTCAGGCACTAGGCAGGGATGGGAAATGGAGGATGAGGTCGGGAAAAGGATAGCATCGTCAGACGAATCCCGGACATAACATCATGTGGGTTCGTCCTGGTCATGATTCCTGATTTGCCCATCGTTATGGAACCTTTTCAGTACCGATTCTCTTCATAGGTGCCATATCGTCAATACTCCAGAGAAGCCGGTCGATGGATGATCCATCACGATGAGATCTATCCATAGACAATGCTGCCCAATGTCAATGTCATGCATACAGTATATCTCAAGTAGGACCTAGTAGGATTATTATTATTTTTTTTATTTTTATTACGGATTAATTATCCAGGTATCCTTCACATGGAGGGGTTGAGGGGCACAGCAAAACGATTATAATAAAATTAGATAAAAAGAACACTAAATAAATCAAAAATAAAGAAAAAAAAGAAAAGGAAGAAAAAGCCAAGTCGTTTCATTTGAATCGTGTTTTTTTTTCTCCCAATGCGTTGTGCGCAGTGGATAAAGCCGTAGTGGATCGAAGACATGGACACGATCATTTATTCTCCCTCACATCGTGAAGACTAACGAAATGATCATTCTCGACCAATAGAGCCACCAGAGTCTACGACCGATGGTGTATTCTGTACTCTGTGCTCTGTACTCTGTCCTTGATGTCAAACCAACCTAACCACTCCAGAGAGAATGAGAGATGGAGGAACCGGGCTGACGGGATGGATTGAAGCTACAGCAGTCGGTCCATGTGGGCTGTGGATTGTCGTGTCGGCCGGAGGGGCGATGGTATCTTTGACCGTACGATGCTTGTAAAATACCGACACAAGGGACGTGTTTAGGTTAGTGATGGGGTTAGTCAGGCGGTCAGTCCTGGTGGATGATTGGATGTTGGGGGATCGACGGGTGGAAATAGAGAAAGCGGGACGTGTTCATATTGGAGTCCGGTGTTCGCTTGTTCCCCTCTTCAGTCTCTCTCTCTTTCTCTCTCTCTCTCTCGCCCTCCGTGAGTCCCGCCCGGGAAGCCCCTCTTTTTCATTCTTTTTTATTTATTTTTTATTTTGATTTTATTATCATTATCATTATTATTTATTTATTTAATATTAAAATATTATGATAATATTCTGCTTCCCAGTCCGCCAACACCGACTCTGGCACGACCGCCTCACTTGTTCTCTCTCCATCCGCTTCGGCCCACGACCTGCTCGCGACTTTTCCCACACTCGCCTCCCTCTTCTTACTTCCTCTTGACTAGACCAGACTCTCTCTAGCTCCCACTTCTGCTTCTCTCTCTCTCTCTCTCTCTCTTGACTTTCTCCTCATCCATTTCTCTCCCCCCCTCCCTCCCTCCCTTCTTCTCTTCTCTTTCTCTTCTTCACTCTTTCTCTCTTCCACCTCCCCTCCCTCTCTCTCTCTCCTCCCCCTCCTCCTCTCCCCCCTCCTATCTAGATATTCAACATCTCTCTTCTCTCATCCACTCTCTCTTTCATCATTCTTAATTGTTTCTGGTCTTTTTTTTCTTTTTGGTTTCTCCGTGGTTCTCAACATACCACTTCTTATTTTCCCCTCCCTCCGTCCGCCTGTGGCTGGACCCTCTTATCCCACCTCCCCCCCTCTTCTATTCAACACCCCCCAGTTTGGTATCATCCAACTTGTCCGGTCTTCACCCCGCTCCCAAGGAATGATCAGACATCAATCCGAAACCCTGTCGTCAAACCGCCTTCAGAACCGGTGTGAAATCACGAAAGGGACGATACCACTGCCCTTTCCCTCGCCGTCGTTTTGCTGAGAAGAATTCGGTCTGGCGCCTCCGTCGCACCATCTTCTCGAAGAAATGGCTCCTACCGCTCCCAACCACGCGGCCAACTCGCCGGCCAAGAAGACCTCCGTCCCGGAGAAGAAATACAAATGTCAATTTTGCAATCGCGCTTTCAGCCGAAGTGAACATCGCAGCCGTCATGAACGTTCGCGTAAGTGCCATACTCTTCCCCTGCCCTCGTCGCGTGGTTTTCCATCTACCCTCGTCTCTATCTCTCTCGCCTCAACACCCAACCTTCCCCTCCCCCCCTCCGGTTGCCACGGTTTTGAAACCTGATACTGACTTCTCTCTCAACAGATACCAAAGAGAGACCCTTCAAGTGCCTAAAGTGTCGCAGCACCTTCGTGCGCAGAGATCTACTCCTCCGCCACGACCGTACTGTTCACGCCAAAGATGGTGGGGTGCCGCTCGTGTCTGAGGGCCGTCGTCGTGGAGGAAACTCGGGTGTTCAGAAGCCTTCCCCTGCATCCGCTCCTTCCAAGCCCTCGGTCACCATTGATCCCGCGACGTTAGAGCAAATTGAGGCAAGCAGTGACGGTATGGTCGACCTTGAAACTGCAGCCATGTTGATGACAGACTTCCAACATAAGGCCGCAGCTGCTGCCACGGGTCAGGGCAATGACCGTGCCGAGTCGGATCGTTCCTTTTCCCCCGGACGCGGTCCCCTCCTGGAACCCTCGTCCGTCTCGTACCTGTCCGGCAATGCGACGTTACCCCAGATGCCCTGGGACACCCTCGTCTCCCCCGCGGACACGAAACGCTCCATGGACTCGCCCTTCACCACGCACGAGAGTGGCTCCGACTCGCATACGCTCTCCTCGGTTATGGACCGCCACGGCGCCGTCGGCGACGCCCTCGCTCCCTCGCTCAACTCGCTGGTGAACTCGCTGCCCGTGTCGGGCAACTCGACCCCGAACGCCCTGTCGCCCTATCCCTCCATGACGGGCCCCGTCAGCCCCGTGAACTACCGTAAGTCGCCGGGCCCAAGCCAGGCACTGACGTTACCCAAGGCTCCCCAGATCGCCAACGAGATCGAACGAAGCATGGTCGTCGAGCGCATTCGAAACGCCGATGCCCTCGGCTCGCTGCCCGAGACCTTCCAGCTGCCGTCCACCGCGGCCCTGAACAAGTACCTGTCCACGTACTTCAACCTGTATCACCACCATCTGCCCTTCCTGCACCAGGAGTCCTTCAAGCCCACCAGCACCTCGCCGCCCCTGCTCCTGGCCGTCCTGTCCATCGGCGCCCTGTACACGTTCGAGCGCGCGCCCGCCTTCATGCTCCACGTGGGGTCGAAGATGCTCGTCAACCAATTCCTGCAGCACAAGGACAACTTCGATTCCCGCAAGTGCCCGCTGTGGGCCATGCAGAGCACCCTGCTGAACATGATCTTCGAAAGCTGGAGCGGCGACCCCAAGGGGCTGGAATGGACGTGCTCCATCAAGAGTCTTCTCGCCAACATGGTGGCCGGGAACCGGTACCAGATGAAGCTGCGGACCGAGGCGCGCGAGGGCGGGCATCCCACCCGGGAAGAGTGGATCGAGGACGAATCGTGCCGTCGGACCTACTATGCCGTCTACATCTTCTTTGGCATGCTCACGCTGACCTTCAACCACACGCCGGCGATGAGCTTCGACGAGATCGACAACCTGGAGCTGCCCTCCTCCGAGTCGCTGTGGAACCTGGACGTGAACGACGACGAGGCCTGGCGCCGCAGCCTGGCCACCGCCAGCTCCCTCACCGTCCGCGAAGCCCACGACTGCCTGTTCCAGGGCGAGCAGGTGCGGTACAGCGCGTTCGCCACCCGCGTCCTGATCAACGCCCTGTTTCTGCAGGTCTGGAACCACAAGCGCAGTTTCGAGGCGCTGCAGGACGTGGTCACCGAGTACAAGCTGCGCCTCGCCCTCGAGACGTGGGAGAGCTCGCTCGAGGTGTGCGAGCCCGAGACCATTGTCGTGCCGCTCAGCACGCCCCAGAAGGGCCACCCGCTGATCTTCAACTCGATGGCGGTATATCGCAACACGCGCGCCCGTCTGGAAGTGGATCTCAAGTCCATCCAGGAGGCGCTGCGCTATCACTCCTCGTACGAGGTCGCCGCGGCGATGACCGTCGCGCGCGAGAAGGTCAAGCGGTCCCAGGAGATGAACAAGGTCATCCAGTCCTGCTTCGAATGCATCGAGATCGCGGCCGTCCAAGGCATCAACTGGGTTGCCAAAACCTCCGCCACCAACTGGAGTGTGGAGCATCCCCTCTGCGGCTTGGATCTGATGGTCATCCTCAGCCTCTGGCTCTATCGCCTGGAACATGACGATGAGCCCGCGACGGAGGCCGAGATGGCCATCTACAACAAGGTGCGGAATCTGTTTGATGACGACGCCGTCGATGCATTTGGCAAGCTCAGCTCCACCGTGGCCCGTGTCTGGGGTAACATCTTGGACGGTGTGGTGGTTTGGGGGTAAGTTCATCACCTTTTTTCCATGCGTCTTCCCATTCCGAAGATTGGCTAACAGTATCTTAGAATCACCAAACTTATGGGCGAATCCTTCAAGCTGCACTCCCAAGCCTTGGTTGGCTATGAGGACTCATTGCGTATGTCCAAGGACCAACCCATCCACCCAATGCCGACGAAGACGCTCGCCAGCGTCGGCACGGCTTATTAGCATGTTCAGGCATGCCTCCATGGCCTAGTCCATCTCGACCTGCGTTCTGTTCTTTTTCTTTCTCTCGTTCCCCTGGGCATATATATTGGGCATTGACGGATTTCGGATTCACGGTTGGGCACGGTGCAAGGTAGGCGACTGTCATCCGCTGCTGGAATGACAATCCGCCATGGAATCTTGCCGGTGTCCGGTCGCCACTTTTTCTTTTTCTTTTGCTCTACTCTTTTCACGTCGTTTATTGGTTCTTCCTGTCGGTTTCCCTTGCAAGAGCTCACAGGAGTCCGGTGTGGTCATTTTCGTGTTTTTATGGGCAGTTTCCCTGGGCAACATCTCGACACCCGGCTGGTCCTGTGTGTTCTTCACTTTAGCACTTGGTGGAGTTGTCTTGCTTTTTCATTCTCATCGCCTTACACTGGACTACACCTAATCTTTAGTGCTTTCTCTCCCCTTCTTTGCGCATCAGCGTGTTGGTCACTCTTCCGTCGATTTGTCCCAGTTTGATACCTTGTGCTTTATATAATCCGCCCTTGTTTTTACTTCTTTTCTTCGTTTTTATTTTTCTTTGATCTTGATTTTTGATTTAGTCTCTTTCAAATCACTCATTTTGGACCATTTTGAATTATCATTATTGTTGTTGACCGTCTCCTGAAGACTTTAATATGCGTTAGAATTGTTTTGATGTTCATGTGTTTATGCCGTCCCGCCAGTCCGTCGATGCGTTATGTTGTCTTTGATCGTACCTATCTATCTGTTGTGCTTCGCTGTTTTTCCCCCTTGTGATTCTGTTTGACGTTAATGTTTATTGCGCGTTGAGTTCGAGTTCTCCGCTCTGCATGTTGCCTGCGTCTGCTGCGTTTGTAGTACCCCCTGTACTATAAGTATTTGCACAAATATAACTGGTTGGCGGGATAATCCTATCGTAGTGTATCCATTGCAGTAGTATAGATTATCAGTGGCGATACTCGTACGTAGACAGTAGACAGCGGTAGACAGCCCAGTGAAGGTACCCAGTCAAGGAGTTCCCCAACAAGCCCAGACAACATCTACCATTTACAAACTATCTATAAATGAACCTCATCTACCCAACCAACTAGGCAGTTAGCCAAAACCTTACCCGAATCCATCCAAGTTGGATATCAAAACTCCCCCACTCCCCAAATTGGTGTTTCTGGTCGAACGGTCAAAACAAGACATGCTAACAAATACCAACCAACAACAACAAACCCAACCCACCAATAAGACCCAAGTCGAAGCTTTCGAAGCTATGAGCCCAGACACTGTCTTATCCACTCTGACAGAAGACAGCACGCTTCTATGGTAGAAGCGTATGGCGAGATACGTCATTATGTTTTTTCTACCTCCGTTCTAGAAGAGAGCGGGGCCTTTTTCCACCGGCCGAATTCACCGAAAACGGTCCAGGTGGGTTTGTTGAGATTCGGTTCGAGGAGGGAGTAGATCTGGGTCTTGGCTTTGGTGTTTGGCGGGATGGATAGTTACGTGGCGGGCTCGCTTATTTCTTTCTTTTTTTTTCTTTTTTTTTTTTTCTGTTGCAGTATTGATGATGAGGGAGAGATGCTCTCATCCCATCTCATTCCTGCTGTGAGGAGGGGCCGGGCATGGTTAGGGTCCATCTCTACATTGGCACATACATCCATCATTGGCCCTTGTTAGGTGAGGCAGGCCCTCAAGTGAGGGATAGTAAGTCTATGACATGCTGCATCTGAAGTAAATAATGGAGACGCAACAAATTTCCTATTCGGGTGGCGAATGTGGCGATTAGTGATCGGCTTGGGAGTATTTATTTCTAATGGGATGGGTTGTTGGGCTTGGCGGGTTGGGTTGATATTGGCTTGGCTGTGACCAGGTTGATGTCAGTAAGGAGGTTACATCTGGATGAATCATTGAGAGAGGTAGGTAGTATTGTATGTTTAATAGAAATCCTGGATATGGATATCCATGGTCGACTGGTAGAAGTTGTTAACCCTCAGGTCAAGTTTGGATGTTAGGGCTGACATGCGACTACTGTCCCTGTCAGGAAATACGCCGCAACGAATCAGAAAAATTTGAACAGTACCACTATCTAGGTCCTACATGTAGCAGAAGAAGTACCTCTTGGTACCAGTTATCTCGACCAGGGCGCCATTCAAAAGAAATGATCATAGTACGGCAGACTGCGTCATAAGGCAGCCGGACCGTGTGCCGAGAGAATGCCGAGAAGAATCACTTGGCAGGCGGTCCAATAGACAGACAGATAAGTGCAACATGGCCTGGGTCGAGGCATGCACTCGGGGCCCGAGATATGTCCGTCATTCTTGAATTTTTTCTAGATTTAGGCATAAATAGGTGTAGTATCCCTTTCTTTTTTTTTTATAGTATCTTTAACTATCTAAGGAATATTGTACATTGAGATATTGGATCTACATACTGATAACTGTAACCTTATCTCAAACCACCCCAACTACACACATCTAAAACTACCTCATGGATATCAACGGACGAGAAACACTCGTGAAAATGGCGCCCCAGTTCATAAACACCTCTCCATCAACATACCACCGCTCCCTCCGGCGCGTCTCCTTCCACCTCCCAACAATCCCAGGGCCATTGAGCGCGCGCGATCTCACCCACGCGACCTTCCCCTGCTACACCCCCCTCGACAACGGTAAGTTAGTCACCAACCATACAACCCCAGCATCTCCCATCATCAAGTCCTATGCTCATATATCGTCTTATAAAAGTATAGAAAACAACCACGAATGTCCCACCCACTGCGACCTCTGTCTAGAAGACATGAGCGAAACTTCCACTCTCCGCAAACTCCCCTGCGCGCACGTCTTCCACCAGCCCTGCATCGACCGCTGGCTCTGCACCCGCGACGCGAGCTGCCCGCTCTGTCGGCGGGAGTTCTACCAATTCCGGAGGCCGCAGATTGCGGTTTTTGATCGGGTGCGGCCTCGCGATAGCGACTACGACTATGGCGTTGAGGACTTCTATGCGAGGGAGAGGAGGATCCAGCAGGAGAGGCAGGAGGATTTGCGCGAGGCGAGGGCCATCTTTGTGAAGTGGTGGAAGAAGAAGTTTTTGGGGGTGTTTGGGGTTGTGAGGGGTTCTTCCTCCCCTTATTCCTCTTCTTCTTCTTCCTCCTCGTCGTCGTCGTCGTCGTCGGCGTCCTCTTTTCGAGGGGGTGATTGAGATGGGTCTCTTTTCTCTCATGGAAAATGACATGAGACACATGGACCGGGCTAGGTCTGTCCACAGGACCAGACAGTCCAGGAGCACAGAACCAACAACTCCAAACACGGCGCGTACCTATCATCTGCCTGGGTTCGTCCCCGCGGATGACAACGGAACCCCTACCGAAGGTTCCAACGACGTCATCACCTACCACCTACCGCCCACCACCCACCACCACACCACCAACCAAGCATATGAGCTGAGCTCATGGTATAAAACCGTCTCTACCACGCCAACTCCATCGATAAAGGACCCGTCAATCAGATTTATACGACCAAACCATGTCTCCCGGTTAGCATGCACGCACACACAACCACATCTGAAAGCTCAACTCAACTCACTCGTTCCAGACTCTCAGCAAACACAGCCACATCGCAAAGCGAGCGTCCTCGAGCGGATGTTCGAACGCCGTCGTCCTCAGGATCCGTCCTCTCAGGACGCGGTTGGTGAGGAGGACGCGCACCACGGTAGCACCCGCAGTCGCAGTCGCAGTGATAGTGAGGGTCAGAGTCAGAGTCGGAGTTCTGGCCGCGACCACGAGAAAGGTCCCGACCAGGGCCGTTCGCGCAGGGAGAGTATGCTGGATAGGTTGAAGAAAAGCTGGCATGAGGGGGGGCCCGATGGGGGGCAGGGGACCGGGGGGTTGATTTGATCTGGCTCCTTCTGTGCATAACCTATCATCGATATGAGTATCAGGCTGGCTTGGTAGAGTATCTTGATGGTGCTTATTGTGAGATAATAATATAATGACAATGACAATAAATACATCAGCTTCTCGAACAGAACAAACCAGATCCCTCTCCACTCTGGATATGGATATACGTAGATATAGACCATATAACCAGACCAAAAAACCCTAACTCCAACCCCCCATCATACCCTCTGACCATAACCCTGACCACCACCACCACTAGCAGCCCCAGAACCAGCCCCAGGACCAGGACTATCCCCCCCTCCAAACCCAAACTCAAACTCAAACCTCGTCCCTCCCACCATCATAGCCCCAGGATGACCAGCAGTAGTCTTGCTATTGCCGCCACCCTCACTATAGACACCCTCCCCCAAAGAACTACACCCAGGCAACTCCACCCTCCTCTCCCCCGACCCCTCCGCATCAGCCATCTTCTCATGCACCCCGCCGATGCCCCCGCCGCCCCGCGCTTGGTAGTCGCGGGCGTGTTGCGCGGCGAGCCGTTCGCGCCGGTGGGCTTGGTGGGCTTCTTCGCGTTTTTCGGCTGCTAGATTGGTGCAAATGGTGGGGTTAGATATATTGTTTATACTTATGTTCTTGTATTATTTGAAGAGAGAGGGAGAGAGGGAGCGAGGGAGAGAAGGAAATACCCCGCCAGAATATCACGTAAATCACCACAATCACCACACAAGCCGCCATGAAGCCGAACATGATGCCGAGTTCGTGGCCGAGGGAGGTGATGGGGGTCTCCGGGGGGCGGTTCTTTTCGGGGATGAGGGAGAGGTTTTCGGACATTTTTCTTTCTTTTTCTTTTTTTGTATATAGATGTATATAGATAGATGGATGTAGATAGATAGATGTGTATTGATTATTGAGTTAGATGTTAATATGTTGAGATGGATGATAAGAGATGATAAGAGATGAGATGAGATGAAATGAACGAAGAAGATGAAAAGCAAGGCTGACGAAGTTGGGGTTGGCACAGCCTCTTTGACGCCCGGGCTTGGTGGTTTCTTTGTTGCTGACGCGGAGTAAGTTGTGAGTTGATTGATTGATGGTTATTGGTCTGGTTCGTATTGCCTCGGTACTACTATCTTTACTTACCTTTGATATTTTGGAGTAGTTCTGGACTATGCTCTGGTAGAAATGAGTATGATTTGTTGAGAATGTGTAGGTGTCTTTTGTATAGGTAGGGTTGGATTGTGAGGCTGTTGTTGACTTCCAGTAGTATGTCGCATACATTGAAATCAACTGATTCAAGCAATATACGCCATCTAGCGATTATAGTCCACGAGATTGATGGATAGATAAGGGGATAAGATAGACTTGTAAAGCTATAGCTGGTATTGTATATATCTATCTATAGCATCTAAAAGAGCCACCATCATCATAGCAGCTGTTCTCACCAGCTAACCAAGCTATTCATCCATAACAGTAAAGAAGCAAAAAGCAAAAGGTATCATGTACACGTCCATGCGTCTGCACCCGTCTATACATGTGGGTATGGTGCAGTAAAAGAAGAAGAAAAGAAAGAAAAGGAAGAAAATATACCAACGCGGCCATCGCATCCACACGTATTAGTCGCGATGGGTCCGCGTCTTTCAAATCCAGTATCGAAGCTGCTCGCAGCAAGATCACAACCCCGGTTGCAAGATACTGGTGAGAAATAAATGATAGAGAAAAAGAAGAAAGGTCGAAATAAAAGAATATAAAGAAGAAAGGCGAAGAAGGCGAAAGAGGATATAAGAGAAGAAGGTAAGGCGAATCCAACATATGATTTCATCACCCCAGCATCACCGCCGCCAGAGCAGTACACGTCAAGCCAATCGCCATCCCGATCCACGGGGTCTGGCCCAGCGTGCCTTCACTCCGCGCGCGCAAAGACTTGGTAGCCCCCGGCGACGGGGTCAACGTCCCTAAGCCGATGTGTCCCTTGGCTGGGGCGGGCCACGGATCCGGGACGGTGGTTGTCGCGGGATCTTCTTCCACCAGAGCTAGGGGCGCGTTGTCGTTGGCGAGGTGTAATACTTGCTGCGGTTCGAGCGGTTCTTTCGCGTCGCTGTTGGATGGGTCTAGGTTGTTGAGGAGGGAGGTCGAGGGTGTGGAATGCGGGATGGCGGGGGTGGGTGCCGGAGGGATTTGATCGGCTGCGAGGGCGATCGTGGGGGCCAGACAGAGGAGTATATTGGAGAGTTTCATGGCGTGGATAGCTCGCCAATAGCGATGGAGGGAGTTTTGTAGGTTGGCGATGCGACAGAATAGGAGTGTCGCGTAGTGGAAGTTTGTCGCAGTAGATGTGAAGGCTCGAGAAGCGAATGTGGAGCCGAAGGAATATCAAACGAGTGACTAGAGGGATCTCGATCTCTGACTAGATCAATCTTGTGGCGGACTAGTAAGGAGATAGATGGTCTTCGATGGTGATGTGTGTGAGAGAGAAAGAGAGAGAGACAAAAAGATAGAGAGGATGAACGACAGTAAATATAAGACCGTGGAAAGAGCGAAAAGCGAACGAAGAGGGGCCAACGAGGGGCGGGATCGAAAGACGACGACGAAGAGAAGAGATGAAAAAGAAGAGGCTAGAGAGAAGGCTAGAAAGAAGCCGGACGAAGCTGTCACGGATAGGATTAGCCTGGGGGACTAGCAGGACTAGCCTCACTAGAAGTATGTCTGGACTAACTGGAAGTAAGTCGGGAGTAGCAGGGAAAGGTCCTTGAATACCTTGAATACCCTGGAAGAAAGAAAAGAAAGGCGTTACGCTAGAGTGGGGTTCGGTGGTACAAACACCCCAATGCGGAAAGGTGGCATCTTGGCGGACAGGGGTTACATCGTGCCAGAGCATCTGACTGGTTGATCTGCTACCGTGTCAAGCCGGATTGGGACTAGCGTGTGTAGATCTCTGTCTCGTGCCAGTCATCAAAGCTTGTCAAATTATTCGTCCCTGGTTCCTTACTAGGTAGGTACCTGTAAGGTAGTTGGTGGCCTATTCAGTTTCTCTCCTTACTGGGGTTACGAGGTAGTACTACTACAGGAAGGTAGTAGGGCAGGAGACGGTGTACAATCGATGAACAGAATCAAGCCTAGATTCTATATATGTATGTCACGAGGGAAGAATGTCTCACCTGACTCGTCCCATGTTACATACATACTACGACAATACTCCAGTACAATCCCAACTAAATATAGATCAACACAACCAACAACCTCGAACAACCGGCTTGTCTCCGCCCACCCATTATTAATTTCCTTAGCTAATCATCTCGTACCTAGTCACCCAGGACCGACAGCCTCAGGCCCAGCTCCCTCAGCCGAAAACACTCCCACTTCAATCAGAGACCCCGACCCACTCCCTCCCTTCATCTCCGGCTAAACCGAGGGTCGAGACCGGTTCAACTGGACTATCTTCATTTCATCCTAGCCCTGTCTTTCTCTTTTCGACTAACAATCATGGAAGTTTGCAAAGTAAGATATGTATGATAAACAATGGCTGGATGGAATATCACATCACATCGTGTCAATCAACAATAAACAATAGGGCTGGGATTTGAACCCCGCTCAGCGACCGAAGTGTCTGTCTTTCTGATCAATGAGATTTAGTTGATATGTAGGTGGCTGGCACCCCTCTATTCTGGTATCTATCTGCTTGTCGCAACTTCATCATGATGTGTTGTCGGTCTGTTTTTCTATCTTTCTTGTTTTCTTTCCCCCCTCCCCACTACTTACGAAATAATTCCCCAGCCGCCTTCCCTTTCATGTCGATCCTGGGTATCTATTCCGTGAGACGACGTAGTCAAGGGGACGTAGTACATCATTTGATCCACGTATGAGGAACACGACTATCCAGACCTAAACCACTTCCTTTAGAAAACACATACCAGGGTAATGCGATATCAAAAAGCAGATCTACAATCATTTCCGAAGCGCGCGCTTAGTCGCATGAATGCCGGTCGCGCTAACCGTTTACGGTAACCATATTGGCTGCCGGAGTAGCATCTACTGGGTACTACCGAAACCATACCTGACCTACCTTATTTACCGTCCACGGCCATATCAAACTCACGAAAACGGAGCCATAGGTACCATGTAGGACTCACGCTGGAATGCAGATACTACTGCACCACCCAACTACTACCTACTCATCCAAAACAGGCTTCAAATCAATATATATTTCCTATCCACCTCCATCCACCCATTCACAGTAAAGATGGTGGATAATAGAAAGTCAAAGCATAAACCACGTATGACAAAAGGATGTTTCTTCACTGTAGTGTAGAAAAAAAATGAGTGGAGGCTGTCAGATTGGGATCCAGTAATGGTCTGCAATGAACAGCGTGAACGCCAAAAGACAACGAGAAAGACAAAGATAAAGTCAAAGACACAAGCAACGATAATCAATCAATCAATCAACCCGCTCACTTCATTCGCTAGACTATCCATGATAAACAGCAAGCAATGGTTCAGGCAGAGCCACAGCCGACACACACGTGCAAATAATATCAAATAGGAAAAAAAAAAGAAAAAGAAAAAAGATGATGAGAAAACATGTAAAGGTAGGACCCTTCGCGCGCTGGGCTCGAGTCGGAGCTGTCACATTTGGTTCAGGCATTCAGACTGTGGGAGACACATCATGCGAGATGACTTAAGAGGGAACCTGCGTATGGATGGGTTGGATAGGAGAGTAGCATGTGATCGCAGGGAAACCAAAGGAACGGAGCCATCAGAGAATGGTCGATGGCAAACAGAGGGAGGAGAACGAGGGAGGGTCATTCCAGAAAAAGAAAAAAGGTAGAAGTGACAGTTGGTTCGGTCTAAGTCAATGCGTCGCCTTCAGCTCAGCTCGTGATCCCAGCACGAGGCCACGTTCAAACGCCTGAACCACTCTCCGAGCCTAACGCTTGCGCTTCTTGTTCTTATCGATCGCCGCCGATGTTAGGGGCACCGCGGCCATCAGCGTGGGAGAGAGGTCGCTCCCGGCGAATGGGTAATCATCACTTGATTTCTTGACGGGCACGCCCATGTGGCGACCATAACGGCCCTTGCGACCATTCCCCTCGTCCTCGCTGATGCAACCTTCCACGCCGATGCCGGCGTCCTTGCACCGCCCACACGGACGTTGGCGATCGCACCCCTTCTTACTCTTCCTGCAACGCTGGCAGCGAGGCTTCGTCGACAGGTCCTCCTCGTCCGCCGCCAGCGGGGGCTGGAAGTTGACCGACGAGGTGGACGCCTTGCGGGTCGGCGCGGGGCTGACCAGCGGCGGCGACATGGCTGGCTTGTGGGTCGCCGTCGTGGACATCGGCTTCACCTTGCGGGGACCTGCCGAGCCGGTGCCTTTGCTACCGCTCTTGATCTGCCGGGGAGCGCCGGGCTTGGAGCGCGCTTTGGAGGAGGGGATGCCGTTGGTGGTCCGAACCTTGGTCTTCTTGGACTTGGGGGCGGACTCCCGATAGACGGAGTCGTTATCGACCTCGTTCTTGATCGAACCGTCGCGGATCAGATCCTCATCGTGATGGTAGTGGTACTCGTCATCCATCCCATCGCAGCTGCCATCGGAGCTGTCATAGCTCGGGAGGATATCATCCAGCCGCTTGTGGGTATGCTTGGTCGCACCCGGGGGGAGCATGGGGCTGGACTCCAATTTCTGCCGACCGCGGGCGGGCAGGTCGTCATCGTCGTCACTAAAGTCCTCCCCCTCGCTCGTCGCACCAGTGGACGAGGCGGCGTCGGCTGCGCCACTGAACGCATCGTCCAGCGTCGACGCGGACGTGCGCCCATGGGAGAAGTTGGAGGCGTCGCCCAGGCGGATCAGCTGCATCGCCACATCTTCATCGGAGATGCAGCTGGCAATGGTCGGGTCCGGGGTCGGCAGGATCCCCGGCGCGCCCGTAGGCCCCGCGGGGTTGCTGAACTGCCCAGACGACTGGGTGACCGTCCGGTCCCGCAGGCCATGACCCTGGTCGGGAACCATTGGCGTGGCATACACCGAACCCGGGGCGGGATTCATGCGATATGCCTGTTCGCTCTGGCCGTAGCTCTGCGGGGACGGCAGTGCGTGCTGATATGTGTAGGGACGTTGCGTGGGACGAGCGAACGGGGAGATGGCTCCTTCCTGCCCAATGGATCGGCGCTGAGGGGAGATCGACGACGTGGAGGTGGTGAGGGGGACCTGAGGAGGGGCAAACAAGGGTAATTCCTGTGAAACGGAACGGTCCCAGTCAGCGACCGCAACAGCGATAGAACCAGAATGTCACTAGGCAGTAAACTCACCGAGCTGTCAAACTTGGGCCGCTTTCGACGGCCGTCTTGGAGGATGTTCTCCATGCTGATGTCGGAGCTCCCCAGCTGCTCGCTGCGGGTCTTCTTGGTGCCCGAGACAGACCCGTAGCCGCCGTCGCTGTCGCTATACCCTGCCGCGGCATCGTCATGGAAGCTGCCGTGGGTACTCGAGCCCCGGCTCTTGTTCCCCGCCCGCGACAGCGGCTTGTGCTGGGAGACGCTGCGACGGCTTCTCCCGGACGGCGATATACTGCGCTTCCGAGCCAGCCGGGACGCCGGACGCGAGGGCGATCGGGGATGCCCCGGCGCCTGCGACGACGGCATGGCCTGTGCCATTTGGAACGGCTCACCCAGACTGGGGCGCTTACAAGGATCAACAGGAAGCGGCCCGTAGTAGCGGTCTCCGTAGCCTTCCGCATACGTGGGGAGGGGGATGACCCGCACGTAGACGGTCATGTTATTCCGCAAGTTCTCATACCGGGCAATGAGGGTGGTTCCGTGGTCATCTTCAAAGCTGACCCCGTTCCCGCCCTCATAGATCCCGTAGAAGTTCTTGACCGTCGTCACGATGGAGTCCGTGGTATCATGAGGGTAGATCTGGACCCGCATGGGGATGCGAGCCCGCGCCTTGTTCTCATCTAGAAGCAGCTCAAAGGCCACATTCTTCGGCGCCGGAGCCTTATTATAAGGGGAGAAGTCATGCGGCGCAGGATGATCTGCATAGGTGGGCGATCCCCCCGGAGCAGGAAGCTGTTCGTACTGGACAGCCTGCATTGTGGACAGTCCAGGAGGGAGAGACTACCACACCACTGCTACATTGACAACTGGATCAATGGACTATTCGGACTGGAGTGGACGATGGAAGGGAACGGGAGGGAGGCGGAGCGATCGAGGAGGAGGCGGGTGGGGAGGGGGAAGGGCAGGAGGACGAGGAGGAGAGGTAGAGGGTATGGGCAAATTCCATCTAAACCTACCAGAACGAAGAGACCAGAAGGGGACGGATGGATAGATGGATCACCCGCGATTATGATCAGGCAATGACTGATGGGCGAATGGTTGTGGATGGGATGAGGGCACCCCAAGTCGCAAGAAGCCGAAGAGCGCTTGGGTTATGAAAGAGAGCCGAAAAAAGCCGTCGGGAGAACTAAGGGAACACCAGGCTTCTGGTCAGCAACATATTTTTGATCAAATTGGTAAAACGAGGATGATGATCTCCCGACCAGTTGCCACTGGAAAGGAGATGTCGACTCGACGTTGGTCGAATCCTGATTGGGGGTGTGCAAACTGAGGGGGTAGGGTGGGTAGACGGCCATAGCGGTGGGCCGAAAGTCCCGGAAGAGGAGGAAGAAAACGGCGAGACAGACGTACCTGAGGTAAACCAAAAGGGTGGATGACGAGTCGCAAGTAGTTGAGAAACTCGATGAGATTGAAGAAATAAGGAAGATGGAGGTGGTGGTGACGGAGGGAGTTGGGGGGTGTGTGGGAGTGGGAAGACGGTGGGAGTGGGTGGTGAGTCGTCGTCTAACTACGAAGCGCTGGGCTATGTCAGCGGTGGCATCACAGCAAGTTGATCATAGCCGACAACCAGTTCAGGGGAGTTAAGAACCACCAAAACAGCATTTGCGACAGTAGAAAAGAAATACATACCAATCCAAAAGGAAAGCGAGAGACCAACCGAAAGAACAGGAATCAAAAAGAAATGAAAACCGAGCAGTGGGTGGGTGGAGAAAGATCGATGAAGTTGGCAGATGGAGAGGGAGGAGAACAGCGAAGAGAGAGCGAGAGAGCGAGAAAGAGAGAGAGAGAGAGAGAGAGAGCGAAAGGGAAGAGAGCGAAAGAGGAAAAGAAGAGAGGGAAGCGAGCGGGTGACTGAGGCAGCCAGAAAGCAAAGTGGGTGCCGATGATTTGATGACCAGATGGTTGATCGATCATGGGTTTCACTCACGAGAATTTCCACAACTGACCTTCTCCGCTTTCACTCTGGTTTGTATTCGACTAGTCTGTAGTTTTCTATCTCTTTCTCTGAACTGTTCCACCTGCGCGACAACGGAGATGCTATTCTGTACCTCGATTCCGCTTGTCGCATTGCGCCGGTTGCTGTCTGGGTCGCAACGTCCAGAATCGCATGACGATCGCTGAACACTCGGCCGTAGAACTCCACCCACAGTCCTCATCTCCGTGGTCGCAATACATCTATCGATTAGAACAGAGATGGCGACCACTTTGGCATAGATCATGAATTACCCTGGCCGATTCTACTGGGGTGAGCGATTGCGACGATCGTGGACGTAGGTGCGCTCCGGCGCTGGCGCATATCTAGACAACTACTCCGTACGGTGCTTCCTCTTCTCTCTTGCAACTTCGTATGCGACCGACTGGTCTTCCAGGTCTTGTTCCAATTCTCCACTGTATTTTCAACTATTACAATTCTCAGATGGAATCGAATGTCTCTCTCATGGCTGGTCACCATCCCGGTCGGGACAGAAGTGGCGGAGAGTTGGCGGGCGTTCACATCACCCATCACCCCCCTCCAGCGAGAGCCACGTCAAAGTAATACTCCCCCTATCAGATCCAACCAACTACGAAGAACCGACGGAGGATGCACTGCCCTACAATGCTTCTCTACTGGCTGGGGGAAAATCACCGAAGAATCAGCTCCTTTTCCCAATGCGACAAGAGCGGAGTCAGCCTTTCTCGTTCGATCTTTCGCATGATTCTTCCCTCCTTTTCTACTAATCGCAAAAGGCATCGCGACCCTCCAAATGGGTCGAAACCCCGAGGGGAATCCACTCCTCTATAATATTGGTGGCTAAATGGGGACATTTCTCTCTTTCTCTCCCTAATGGAATGTCTCCAACAGCGTGCATAATGACCGATGCGTCCGGGGACGGCCAAAAGGGAACCCGCTGGTCGCTCAACCGCCAATCACTCACTCCCCGGTGGCCCAACCAAACCAGGACAATATACTAACAAGGTCCTTGGATATCGAACGTAGAGGGGGAGAGATCGTTTTTAAAGTGATATCTTTGGTTTACTTTGATTTACTCATTCAAAATGGCATGCGACTCAAAAAATCGGTTCCCCAACAAGCCAAGCAAATGGACAACCCAATTGCTGCCTCGTTTCATGATCTGCGCCTGTCCAGACTTGTCCTCGTTACCCCTCCTCGGGACGTGTGGGCTACGTAAGGATCCTCGTTTCTTCGCAACCTTCGGGCACAATGGCGATCATCCACATCTGTATTGTTTTATTTGGTTTGGCTCTTTGCAACATTTGTGTCCCCCTCCGTTTATCATGTTGTTTTGTCAAGCCGCGCCAGCATTATCCCTTCTTTTTGTGTCGGGTATGCGACGGAAATTGTCCATTCCCCCGGGGGGAGCGCCGAAGCGGGAAGTCCAATACGTAGGACTCGAGCTACGGAGTGGGTTGGATCGCATTGACTATGGAATATTTGACTCCTCTTCTCTTGTCTTGTCTTCCGGGCGCGCGATGCGATCGTAGTTCGTCTACCTGTAGAATAACCCAGACAAGTGAGGGGAGAACGAGGGTGCAGAAAGGGAGGCCCAAGATACAGTTGGCGCAAAGCAGATGCATGCCGTTAGCCGGGTGGGGTTTGGTGAACAAGTAACGTAGCGTTATCCATCCTGGATTATTTTGGAAGAAAGAATGCGTTCGCAGCTTAAAACCCGCCGATGGAGAACTGATCTGAGATTGGACGCATTCCGATCCCTCAGGATAAATATTTCTGGGGAGACCATCATCGGGTCGGAAGGGGATTTGTTATTCTGGGGCCCTGAGAGTTGACGTGACACTTTGCGCCCAGTCCACCAGGGTCATATTGGCCGATGGGAGAGGTGGAATCAATCAGATGGTCGACTCTACCCAGCCCGCCAGGACACACCGAAACTCTGTGTTGTTATTTTTCAATAGCCCACTTTCTCACCGTTCCATTTCGGCTCCGCAACGAACAGGGAAAAAGAAAAGAAAATGGCAAAAAAAAAAGCAAAGCGGATAAATCACATCGAACAACCAAGGTTTGAACAAAGGAGGATTTTAGATTCGAGTCAGTCCATTTGAAGGCTGCTCGACCAGAGAACTGTCTTCGTGGACCACTATCCTCATGGACCGACTTAGTCCTGTCACCCTGTGGAGGCGGCCATACCCAGGTGGTCTTGTGGATGGGTCTGGCTGAAGAAAGACAAAGCTACGACCTCCGTTGCTTCATCATGATAGGTACCGCCGCATCCGCGTCCCACACCGAGGGCACTGGTGGCTTTCTGTTCGGCGACACGGGTGTAAACGGGGAGCCGGGACGGGGGACAGAGACCAGAGAAGGAAAAGCAAATCTGATCTGATTCCATTCAGATGATATTCATCCACGATCGCAACATCTTGCGACACCGCGATCCTCTATCTATCTAGCTTTCCCCCCTTCCTTCCCCGGTCTGGTGGTTGACCGGAATTATTCTGGTCGGTTTGCGACGAGAAAGACCCGGCGCTTTTCCCGAAGCATCTCGAAGACGTTTCAGAGTGCGGGTTGCCTCTTTCTTTTGAACCGCGTCCGTCTCTTGTCTGGTTCAATTCTGCAAATTCGCAGGATCAGAACATCCTATCGCTTTCAGATTGACCCGATCGAGCCATGGAAGAAGGAGGAGTGACGACTGGGGAAGTGTCACCCAGTTGGCGGGATCTCCTCTTTCACAGTGAGATCCCGCCAATCAGTACTCCACGTGATCGCGCGTTTCATGGCTGCCGATCTCGTGTTGCCCCGCGCGCCCAGCCCGGACGACCGACTTCCCCATATTATCCATCATTAGTAGGCGGATAATATGGGTTTTTTGGTATGAACCTGGTCGCATCAGTGATAGCTATCTACCGGTATAAATTAATGCGTGCCTCCCCCAATTCCCACCCCGTAACCTGAATCACCCTGGTCAGAGCAGTGGTGGGGAAGACGCGCCGAGTGATGTCATGGAGGGGCCAACCAGACAAACCAAACAAACCCGATCACGGGATGAGGTAAGCATACCACAGCAACGCCGGAACGGGAATAGCGCCGACTCTCTGTTGTTGACGGTAACCAAGTAAGGAAGTCACTGTTTTGATTCTTCCCTAGTAACTCGTAGAGATCTTGTCTTCCTCCCTCTCTTCTCCCTTGGCCCTCTCTTCCCTCTCGTCGTGTGTTTTTTCTTCGGTCGACAGTCTCTTTGGTTCTGTCTGGTGGTGGTCGACAAGATAAATATCCATCTCTCCCTCTGCCAAATCCTCTGCTTTCGCACGATCCAGAGTCCTTGGCGTGGTTGGGTTGTTTGTTTGGGGCGACTTAGTATAGTTAGCGACTGCGACGGCGGCCCCGACGCAGGCACCAAAGAGGTAAACAATCGCCCAAACACCAGCACCCGCGGTCTGGCAAAGGTTTGAAGCTTTTTCAACCCTGTGACTTGACAAAAATGGATGCAAAGGTATGTCGCTGGTCGGTTCTTTTTCCAGTTTTCCTCAATTCTTCTCGCCGTTGCCCCCTTGGGTCAAGGTCGTCTATTCGAGAAGAGATGGCGATCCCCTCGGGGATTTGACGCGCCACTGTTTTCGTTCCTTCAATCCCTATTTTTCCTAGTCGCAGAGATTCATCATGTACAATACTGACTTCTTTCCCCAACGACAGCCCCAGAGAATTCGCGTCCGCGCGGACGAAAATGCACCCTTCCCTCTGGCGCCCGCCAATAAAACCCTTCACCAGAAAAACAAGTCCACCCCCGCGCTGCCCGCCGTTTTCCAGCATAACCCCAGCAAAAATGCTCCCAGGAGAGCCGCGTTTGGAGACGTTAGCAATACGGCGAACCTCGTCCATGGGAGTCGAGATGACGCTGCTCTCCCGGGAAAGAAGCAAGGCAAAGCGTCCGAGAAACCGTCCGGACCCACGGTAGAGAAGAGACCTGCGGTCCTGGCACAGCCAGCCCAGCGTCCGACGTCGATGTCGGGCTTCAAGGGTCTCAACATCTCTCATCCGAAGCCCCTCGAACCTTCTGCGAAACCGACGGGCACCATCCAGCAGTCAGCCAATATCCGAAAGCCCGTGGGCAAGCGCGCCACGGTCTTCAAGGACACATTGCAGCCATTGACAGAGAAGAGCGAATCTACATCCAAGGAAACCACCAGCGAAGCCGACGAGCAACCAATTGAGGGCCATGCGACTGCGACAGCACCCCCTGAACAGCAACAGGTCAGAGACCAAGCGATCACCGACCCCGTGAACGCACATTTCGATGATACCGAAGAAGATTCTAGTATCAATTCTGAGTTGGAAGACGAAAGGGATACCTCCAAGTCAGAGAAGGATGACTGCAAGGTCCAGCAAATCAGAGAGGTCGACCCTCGTCCGAAGGACGATGCGACGAAGTCTCACCGGGAGTCCAATCCGTCTCAGGCGGAAGATCACCTTCCTGCGCAGTCTGAGCCGGAGGAATACTGGGATGATGAAGAGGATGAGAACGAGGACGACGATGGCTATGCCACCACACGCTCCTACCGTTCCCGGGGCGAAAACACCACGGGTGGAGCGACGACGGTCCTATTCCCCAAGGTCAACCAACAGGTCAGACGCGAACTGGCTCTCGCCAAGCAAATTGTTGAAGCGACCCGAACTGTGGAAGACATTGAAGACGAATTCTGGGATACGAGCATGGTTGCTGAATACAACGACGAGATCTTTGGCTACATGAAGGAGCAAGAGGTATGTTCAACTCCAAGTCAACTCGCCTGGCTCTGTACTCACACTGTCTTTAGATCAAAATGCTGCCGAATGCTCATTACATGGATAACCAAGCGGAGATCCAATGGTCCATGCGCTCGGTTCTCATGGACTGGCTGGTGCAGGTGCACCATCGCTTTTCGCTCCTCCCCGAGACGCTCTTCTTGTGTGTCAACTACATCGATCGCTTCCTCTCTTGCAAGATTGTCTCACTGGGCAAGCTCCAGCTTGTGGGAGCCACTGCAATCTTCATCGCTGCCAAGTACGAAGAGATCAACTGCCCGTCGGTCCAGGAGATCGTCTACATGGTGGATGGCGGGTATAGCGTGGACGAGATCCTCAAGGCTGAGCGCTTCATGTTGAGCATGCTCCAATTCGAGCTGGGATGGCCGGGCCCTATGAGTTTCCTGCGCAAGATCAGCAAAGCTGATGACTACGACCTGGAGACTCGTACCCTCGCCAAGTATTTCCTGGAAATCACCATCATGGATGAGCGTTTTGTCGGTTGCCCCCCTAGCTTTATTGCTGCTGGTGCCCACTGTCTTGCGCGGCTCATGTTGAGAAAGGGTTCTTGGGTATGTTCAACTTTACACCTCTCATTTCTTTGTGCTACTGCTAACAATAATTCAGACCCCTGCTCATGTTCATTATGCCGGCTACACCTACTCCCAGCTGTTCCCCCTTGTCTATCTCATGATGGAATGCTGCGAAATCCCGCGAAAGCACCATGCGGCTATCTATGAGAAATACACCGACAAGAGATACAAACGTGCTTCGCTTTTTGTTGAAGCCGAAATGAGAAAGGGGTTCCGTCTTCCTGAGGTAGCCCGGAGCAGCAGCATTTCTGACCGCAACACGCGTCTTGAACAAGGGCATTTCTGGAGACGCGCATGATTAGTTTTGCTGATCATGTCGTTCGTCTTGTCTCTCCGCGCTGAACCCACTGTTCCGGCGGAACAATCTATGCGACATCCGACCTCTCCTTTGTTCGATTACTTTTACCCATGACGTGAAGATATCTGGAATTATCTTGAGTATTAACTTGAATATCTTAAAGACAAAAAAATGAGAAAAAAAAGGAAAAGAAAAGGGAGAAACCAAACAGGCAGAAAAAATGAAACAGCCCACGACTTCGCTGGTCCAACAACAACAACACCATCACATTACCTTCGTGCTCTACGAAATCATCACCTTCTATCCTCCCATGATGCTGCGCAATCTGGGAATCCGCGACGAAATGGGCAACCCGGTTACAAGGAAGGAGTTTTTTTTTAATTTTCTTTTTTCTTTATCTTTCGTGTTTCCTTCTTCTTCTATTTTCTGCACTTGATTAACGAAATTGGACGACATGAGATCCATGCCATCAATCCAGGCGGGGACGGAGTTATGGGTCAAGAGTCGATGAATATTCCTCTTCTATTTTTCTTTCTTCTTTTGTTTTTTCATACGCACCCCCTATTCCCACCACACCAGTTAGTCCTACATCCCACTTACTTCTTTTTTTTTTCATCGACCAAAAATCATGACTTCACGTCCCCGATTATATTTGGTTTTTGCTCAATGGCACTACACGCACACAAGTATCTTCTTCATGAATAGCGAGCTCGCCTGGCCATTAATCGATCCCATTCTCCTTTCGTTTCCTTTGTTTCTCATCTTTTTTTCGCTGTATGGGAGGCCGAACAAAGCCTCTCTGCTTATTTTATTGTCTTCTCCCCCCCCCCCCCCTTATGGATTATCATCCAAGCTTAGGCGCAGACTTTAGTGAATTTTGAACTTATTCCTTTGTATTCATTTATTTCTTTACTTCTTAGTTCATCTGTATGTTGTATACGGTAACTAAGGTGTGTTATGAAGTAGGTAGTGAGCACTGATCACATCATAGCTTTTATTCGTCTATCTAACCACTCCGTATATCGGTTAGTATGTATTTACTGATCTATCTGTATATATAGCCATGCCTGATCCCTCCAACCCCCCCTCTTATCTCGTTCAAGAAAGCAAGGGAAAGTAACAAGAAGAAAAAAATCACTGATCCAACCCATTAAACTCCACCAACTTCTTCACCACATCGATGACTCTATCGGCTATATTATCCGCAGACGCAGACGCCTTATCAGCCGTAGAAGACGAAACAGGATTATCAATCCGCGACGCAATAATCTCATCGACCATCAGGCGCAACCGCGACACGAGGACCCCGATGCGGGCCCAGCCGCGGAGCCGTAACCACCCGTCGACGATGAGGCCTCGGCCCATTGTGTCGAGGTCGATGGAGCCGCAGAATAGGAGGAGGGAGTAGACGTTGAATGCTATGGTTTGTTAGGTGGGATACTTTCTTTATAGTGTGATAGTGTGTGTTTGAGGAGGGGGGGGAGTATATGTATAGGATATGGATACGTACGCGTCAAATCACGAATGAACACCTTGCTAGTAGCCATCTTGGTGAAGTAACTGAGGTAGGCGGATCCGCTGGGGTAACCCTGCGCGGAGAAGAGCAGCGAGCTGGGGTGGATGAAGACGCGGCCGTTCTCCTGGTTGAAGTACTTGATTGTGCGCGCGTCCGGGTCGACTTCGACGGTGCCAGAGACGGAGCTGGCGAATTTCTTGTCCGGGAAGGAGATCTGCGCGATCTGCGGCTGGAAGGCGCCGGCGATGAGGGCGCGCAGGAGGCCTCTGTTGCCTGCGTTGCGGTTCCAGGACCCGCGGGCGGGGTTGGTGGTGTTGTCGGCGTAGTCGACGGGGAGGAGGCCGGCGTCTTTGAGGGACGTGAGGAGCTGGGAGCGGTTGGAGGAGATGTCGCGGAGGGTTTGGTGGGAGAGGAAGTTGGCGCCGCACCAGGTCTGCGTTTGCCAGTAGCCTTTGGCTTGGACGCGGTCTGTCCACTGTTGGAAGGCGGCGAGGTCGGTGAGGAGGTCGCCGTCGCCTTTGGAGAAGGATGCTTTTGCGGAGTCGGCTTCGTCGCGGCGTTCGCGGGGGGACACGAAGGGGCTTTTCGTGGTGAGGATGGCGGAGATGGTCACGCAGGGGTCGATGCAGCCGAATAGAGACCCGTAGACCATGAGCTTGGCGCATCGCAGATCGGCGGGGATCATGGATAGGTAGCGGCCGAGGCCGGTGAGCTTGTCGTGGTCGAGGGCGCCGACGCGGTGGAGGAAGCTGAGGGCGCCTTCGACGGCGATGCTTTCGGGGGGAGTGATGGTGTTTGCCAGGAAGTTGGCGACGTCGTTGATGCCTTGCATGGACTTGACTGATAGGCATAGCTGTTCCAGTGGCACCCGGCGGATTTCTGGGTCGGGTCGCGGTGCCATGTTTGACTCTGCCTTTCGTGTGTAGAGCTTGTAGCATGTACCGGCCCTCACACGACCGGCACGACCACGACGCTGCTTGCATGCTGCTTGAGAGGCCCATACCTCCTGAAGCCGCACCATGTTGTCTTTCGGGTCGTAGCTTGTTTCTTTCACGCGGCCCGTGTCGATGACTGCGACGACATCCTCGATCGTGATGGACGTCTCGGCAACGTTCGTGGCTGCTATAACCTTTCTCTTCCCCGCTGGTGGTCTCTGGAAAACGCGCCGTTGGTCAGACGGCAGAAGAGACGCATGCAATGGGAGCGGGTGCATATCGGGTATCCTTCTGACAGCATTCAAACACCGCTCGATTTCCATAGTACCGGGTAAGAAGATCAGGATACCACCCGGCTGGTCTCCCAATACAGCGTCGATGTATTGGACAGTGGCGGCGATCAAGTCGTAGTTGATTCCCATGCCGACGCTACGAAGAGCGCGGCCCATCGACTCCTCGCCTTGGCCCGGGGCCGCATCGTCTTCATAGTCCCGGTCGGTCAGTTCCGGCGCAAACCCGGTGTCCCGGATGACATCGTCCAGGTAAAAGTCGTGAACTGGGAATGTCCGCCCAGGGATGTTCACCGTTCCAACATTCTGGTGACCACCGAAGTAGTTGATGAAGATCCCCGCATCGAGGGTGGCACTCATCAGAATGACCTTGATATCCTTACGGTAGCGCAGGACATCCCTCAAGAGGGCCAAGAGAAAATCGGTATCAAGACTTCGCTCGTGAACTTCGTCCACAACAACATGCGTGACATCCGATAGGGACCCAGCGACATTACCATCAGATCCACTACCAGACTGGATACGACGGAGTAAGACACCGGTTGTCACGAAGGTAATCTTCGTGACACCCGACTTGACCTTGGAATCGCCCCGGATGATGTATCCAACCTCGTCGCCCACTGTACCGGTCCGTTCATCGCTCACTCTGTCAGCAAGTCCCAAGGCCGAGATACGACGTGGTTGCGTGCAGACGATATTCGCGACGCCGCCCAGGCCCTTTTCAATCATATCATCAAGCACGAACTGGACAGACTGGGTACTTTTACCACTGCCTGTTTCACCAGAGATGATGGTGACTTGATGATCATTCACAGCCCGTACGATGGCATCCTGAGTATTCCAAGCAGGGAGCGATCCACGCTGTCGATTCATCTGTTGCTGTGCCTTGGACAACTGCTTAGCCTTCCAGGCCTCGTGAACTGAGATACTCTGAGGAGACCCGGGCTGCCAGTTGATCTCGCGCGCCTTCTTGCGGGACTGGCGGACGGGTAGGCTTAAGACAGAACCAGAGGCCGGTGGCGGCGCAGTAACCGTCGAAATATCGCGCAGTTTGCCTGGATTCTCCATCACCTTGGGTAGGTTCATCTCCAGCCAATCCAAGATGTTATAAATCATTGGCTCCCCAAGGAAGCTACTGTCGGCGTGCTGCACCACCTGGCGAATCGCACTTAGGCGAATGTAAGAAGGGATGCCCTTGGCTTGGATTGAGATGACCGGGGGCATGGAAGGGTAATGTCCGGAGGGCCTTTGAAATTTGAAAGACAACGGCTGGCGGAAACTCTCGGGATCCCCTTGAACCTCACAGACCTTTGGTGATAACCGAGAAAAGCGTTCCCCAAAGATTGCCTCTAGCGTTTCTTGTTCCTCTGCCCAGAGGTCCTCATCTTCAGAAGGTTGGATCTGCGGCGGTCTCCCATACACCAATGTACTCTGTAAGAACTCTGCGGTAGCGAGCTCATCGCCCTTTTTGCTGTCCAGCGTTTGCGAACACAGGTCAGAAGGATATCCAATCGACGTAAGTCGCTTGATCTTCCCCTCCTTCGCAAGATCGTCGGTTGCTAGACTCACGCCCGCAGAGTATCCCTCTGGGAGACACCAGCTTGGAAGATCATCTTCCGGAATATAGACCAAAAGCCACTCCAAAACCTCCTCACGGTCCTTGCAAGCGGCCGCCGCTTCCTCGATATGGCTGCGCCGGAAACCCAACCGGGAGAATTCCTCGATGATGGCCTTGCGATCGCGCTCTGGGATCTGCACGTTGTGGGCGTTCCAAATGGTGTGCTGCCGCAATAGGTTCTCAATATCACGCCGCACTTTGCCGCCCAAGTCCACTTTCGGAGCTTGCGACCAGATCCTCTTGCCCTTGTTATCACTGCTTGGACCCAGCCCCAAGTTCACCCCAGTGTCCTTCGCTTTGGCCTGTGTCTTTTCGCGATCCTTTCTCTTCTTTTCGATCTCCGCTGCCAGGGCTTCTCGTTCCTGCTTGGCCAGGAATGGATCCGCTTCGTACATCCAGCCTTTGCCTTCCTTGGTATCCGCGGTCTTGATCTCCGTGAAATCCTCCTTCCAGAATTTCCGATACGTCGGCGGCAGCATCATATGCAGATTCCTCATATTGCAAACTCGATATAACGCATACGTTGCCGCGAAGTGGCGCGCTTCCAGCGCCGTCGGCTGAGCCGCCAGCTGTTTGTGGGAGGGCGGCAGTTTCATGGGAGGCAGGACGACGGTCTCTTTAGTCTTCTGGTCGACGCGCTTCAATATCACCGACGACATATATCCATCCGGTGTTTTGGCCTGGAGTGATCCCAAGGTAAAAGCGTCAGCGCGACTGGAGTAATGCGAATAGAAATCAAACTGTCAACCCCACTTACCATTGTGTATTCAGGCTTCTCCCATTTCTGTTTTTGACAGTGCTCGGCCAACATATTGACAGGGAGTTTCCCCGTCCATGATGCGCCTCCAATGACCTGCTTCACTGAGGGTTTTTTGGGCTCCTCGGTGCTGGCGCTGGCGGACTGCGCTTTCTTCGCATTCTCCTCCGCGGCGGCTTTGGCCTGCTTGGTCCCCGGCTTGGGGACTCCACGGGCATCGGGCTTTTTCTTGGGAGGCATCCTTGCAAAGAGGATATATATATATATATATATAAATGTAGTCGTTAATGGGTATAAAACAAAAAAAAAAAACACCCGTGGAGGGTCAAAAAAAGCACAACACCCAGAAGTTGAAGGGGCCCAGGAAACAGTTTGCTGCAACCAAAGCGGTGGTCGCTGTCCCGCACTGCACTAAAGTTGGGGAGACTCGACTCGCCTCCGCCGCCCGCATCACATCACCAACCAACTGGTCACCCACCGCCATGCCACCCAATCTTGTCCTTCTCACCGCTACCTGTCATGGCCAGCGAATCACCCGGTCTGGAGGCTGAAGTCGCCGAGCCCTCAAATACGAAGGGCCCCTCACTACCGGCGCAGGGGACGCCGGCGAAGAGAGACGCCTGTCTGTTCCCATACATCATCCCGACTCTCCCGCGCGCAGATAACAAGGCAATCAAATCACTAACATGTCGAACCATCCAGTCGCAGAACTCCTAGCGCCGAAGCCCAAGCAACAGAAACAAGAACGCGATGCCTCCTCAACCGACCCCACCGCCGCAAAAGGCAAGAAGAGAGCAGCAGCAGCCTGCGGTCCCCGCGACGGCCTAGGCGCCTACATCGCCAACCCAGACGCCTACCCAGCCAACATCGTCATCTCCCACAATGACGACTTCGTCGCCATCCACGACATGTTCCCCAAATCCACCCTCCACCTGCTCCTCCTCCCACGCGACGCCACAAAAACCCACCTCCACCCCTTCGACGCCCTCGCCGACCCGGCCTTCCTCGCAAAGGTAAAAGCAGAGACATCCAAGCTCCGCACCCTCGCCGCCGCCGAGCTCAGGCGCAAATACGGCCGGTTCTCCGCCCAGGACAAGGCGCGCCAGGATGCGCTGAGTGCCGACCCGCCGCCGGATACGCTGCCTCCCGGCAGAGACTGGGAGAAGGAGATCATGTGTGGTGTCCATGCTTGTCCGAGTATGAACCACTTGCATGTTCATGTGATGTCGGTGGATAGGTATAGTGAGCGGTTGAAACACCGTAAGCACTATAATAGCTTTTCGACGCCGTTTTTTGTGGGTCTTGAGGACTTTCCCCTGGCGGAGGATGATGTCCGCAGACATCCTGGCCGGGAGGGGTTTCTGAAGTGGGATTTTGTTTGTTGGCGCTGTGGGCGGAATTTTGGGAATCGTTTTGTGGCGCTTAAGGCGCATTTGGAGGAGGAGTTTGAGGAGTGGAAGCGGTTGTAGATATAACGGGGTGGGGTGGAGTTGAGATGGTTTACGAATGTATTACAATGATATTTGTGCATCGTGGCTCCATCATTATAGATTAGGATCCAGCTTTCATGAGACCATCATATTCAAGAATGCAAAAGGAATTGCAATTCCGAAGATTGCGCTTCGAAGCGCTACTATTACAGAAGTCGCACATATGATTGTAGATATACAACCCCACCAAGGATAGCCGGAACGATGGCGACCCGATCACGTTCTCAGCGATCTTTCTGCCCTCGAGTCCACTATCCTCGTGCAATCCTGGTTATCCACCATGCAGTGGGTGGTACCAACAAACCCCTACCAATCCTCCTTCAAACAAAAGCCTTCCTCCGAAAGATCACCCTGAGACACATTTAGGCGCGGGTCTTGGAGCGGGAGCTGCCCTTCACCTTACGAGCCTCGGGGCGGTTGATGTGGTGAGACGGGATCCAGTCAGCGTTGTAGGTGGTGGCAGACGACACGGCGGGGGAGGTCGCCGGCTCGACAGGCTCATCCTTCTTGGTGGCGCCAGCAGACTTGCCCGGGGCCTTTCCAGAGCGACGCTTCTGAGGGAAGTAAGGCGCGATCCAGACGGTGTAGAAGAAATAAACCACGCCGGAGAAGCAAGCGAGAAGGAAGAAGTAGAGGAAGATGCTGCGCATGCAAAGTCAGTCACCAGCGACAAGAAAGAAGAAACATGCGGGGGGGGAGGGGGGTTAGCTTACATCTGAGGGTCAAAGATGCTCGTCTCCGGCTCCACGACGCTCACGGTTCCATTGTATGCGTAGACGGTGAAGAATTGGCCCTCGGTGTTGGAGATGATCGTAGCGATGCCGAGTCTCAGATCCTGAGGATGCAGTTCGTCCGCGAAGCTGTAGCTCAGGCTCTCCTTTTCACCGGCGGGGATCTCGATGCCATAACGGGTCGCGGTCAGGTTGCGAAGGATACGGCTCTCCTCATCCAGAGTCGACAGAGTTCCCCCGACGAAGTTCACGGTCACCGGGTTAGGCTCGTCATTGGTGAACGAGATCAGTGCCTGGGTCGGATGGCCGTTGACCAGCTTGACGCCGAAGATCTCGGAAGCAGGGAAGGAAGCCTGGGCGGTGACGGCCAACTTCGCATCTGCTTTCTCACCGGCGTCAGCAGCAGCATCCTATAGCATGCGCAGTTAGTTACACAAATCCCCAATGGCTTGTTGACCAGAAATGATCGGATCAGGCACATACAGCAGCAAAACTGCCGCCAATGAAGGCTTGGACCGAGAGCAGAGCCAAAGACAGGAAACCGAGACGAGCCATTGCGATTGATGAGTACACTACAAGGAGGAAAGAAGCAATCAAAGGGGAGAAAAGGAAAGACAGAGAGAAGAGAAGGGAAGAGATGTTGAGAGTTGATGGCGCCGGGTAAGGGAGGAATGGTTTTCTCCACGTAGGCGTTTACTCTAGTCCCAACTATGAGTAGTCACAAACTGCGGTTATATTACTGACCGCTTACCGCTTTTGCTTACCGCTCACCTGGTCTGATCTATGTTGCTGAGTCAGGTGTTTGTTCATTGTTGTGCTCTACGTAGTACTTTACTTTACTCCGTACACAGAGTATGGATCAGACCAATCTATCCTAAAGCAGCATGTCCAGATGGTCAACATTTCTGAAATCACAATTGCTCCTTTGCCCTCGATGGGATATGAGCCAGTCCAGTAAGTAGAGAATCCGCTGTCACCATCAGATCAGGTGATTTCCTTATCAGCGGCCATTTCTTCAACTCGGAGGATTCCTAGAATTCCACTTCTCTACCTGGATACCTACCTTATAGGGTGCTAAGGTATGTATCCCTGAATAGATAGACATCATGCCATAGTATGGAGAATAATTCAATGAATCAAGGTGGCCAATTCTTCCCCAGTACGGAGTAAATCATCTGAATCTTGGTATATAAATAAACTAATTTCATAAGTACCTTCTCATGCTATTGAGAACAGACCCTTATTGGATACATGACTAGACTGCGCTCCACCGACAAAGAGTGAACCGCCGGATTGTTTGTTCTCTGCTTCTCTTGTTTCTCCACATAAACTTCCCTCTCCACAAGAAAAAAAAGATATCAACAACCAGCTACCTACTAGCTACCTAGAATACACCATTCCTCTGATCCATCCCTATAACCATTCAAACAAACCAGAAAAAAAAAAGGAAGAAGATAGAGTAGCCATCATGACCGCTACAGCTTATCTGGAACGCTATAAGCAATTAATCTCCATAGAGAACTCCAAGAACAGCCTAATTGAGGTAGCTCCGCCGGATTCAATGACAGCTCTTGTGACCCTCATCCCGTTTGCCATGTTAACCTAAGAATGCCCTCTCATAGGACCTTCTACAGCGTGTAACCGAACTAGAAGATGCGTGGAAGCAAGAGAAGCTTGACCATGAACGCGAGACCCGCTTTAATCGTGATATCCAGATCCATGAGATGGAGCTAATGAACCAAATCTCCAGAGTTAAAGCGGTGATGGTGAGGCCCTTCCCTGGTGGTTGTGTGAGATCTAGTTTAGTTCCCTTTGCTGATGTTGTCATGTTTCGTCGACTTTAGGACCGCGAACCTTTTATTGTTGTCCTCCTCGACGGCGCCGGTATGATATTCAAAGACGAGTTTCTACAAAACGGCGAGCAGGGTGGTCGCAACGCAGCACAGCATCTCCACACGGCGCTCCAAAGTTACGTGGTCAGCAGTTTCCCCCACATCGACGCGCCGAAAATAATGGTCAAACTATACGATAATATGAAGGGACTGAGCGAACGTTGTGTCCGAGGAGGTGTCACTACTGAGCCTGCGCTGATCGAGGATTTTGGTCGCGGCTTCAATAGTAGCTATCCTTTGTTCGAATTCGTGGATATCGGTCCGGGCAAGGAGAGCGCCCATGATAAGATTGGCGGTGAGTCCATCTCTTGTCTACGGTTTGGAGGCTGCATGCTCTGCTTCCCCCATCACAGGTGCTGATTTGCGGTCCGCGTGTTCTTCAGAGGCTTTCAAGCTGTATCTATACAACTGCCACTGTCACCAAATTTTCTTGGGCTGTAACTCCGACCCCGCATATGCAGATATTCTGGGAAAAACGTTAGAAGACAGAAGTCTCGCCGGGCGAGTGTCGTTGATCGAAGGCCTCCCGTTCGAAGACGAGATGAACTCCATCAAGGCATCTTACCGGGCCGCGAAATTCCCTGATCTCTTTAGAGACTCAAAGATGAACGTGTGGGCTCCGTGGAAGGCAGCAGTAGCCAGCAAGCCGCGCGCTCCGCTCGCACCCTCACATCACCACAACGTTCCAGCCCCGGCAGGGCCCTCCACCAATACATCTACAACACCTAGTAACGGGGTGCAACCCTCCCGGTCCTCCTCGACCGTCTCACAGACCTCGGGAGACTTCCAGGTAGTGCGTTCCAAAGCGTCAATCTCCACGCATCCCAAGATCGTAGAGCGAAATAAACACGGCCAACGAGTGGACCGTCTCGACTTCAAAACCCTCCCCCGGGACGAACTGAGCCGTATGAAGAAACTGAAACTCTGCAACTTCTACCATATACAAGGCACCTGCCCGAATGATAATTGTCCCCACGACCACGTCCGCAAATTGACTAAAAGTGAACACTTCATCCTCGTCGCCATCGCTCGCATGACCCCTTGTCGGTATGGGCTCGAATGCGACGACACGGAGTGCATGTATGGACATCGCTGCCCGCAGAGCGAGCCCGGTCGAAAAGAATGCTTCTGGGGCGATAATTGCCGGTTCGACAGAGCCGCGCATGGTATCGATACTAATATCGTCAAGGTGACGAAGGTCTAGCTGGTTTGGTCCTTTCTATCTTGGCTATGACGACAAGGGTACGACCTCACTTATTTGTTTCCTCTCTTTTCTTCCTAACGACACATGACATTATTGCAAATTAGTCACCTCCCGGAGCGGTCATGAAGGCGATTCCGGTCGTTGTTTTCCTTTCCCTTGTTCAAATTCTGGGTTCTTTTGCGAGGGGATTGGTATCAAGGTTGGGTCTTGAAGCACGTGCATGGATTCTTCCTCTTTTCTTCTTTTCTCGCTCCATCCCCCATAAATTGTTCAATAACGGGACAGAGTTGTATTCTGGACATGACGGTCTGACAACACTCGAATGTAAAGTCGAGGAGCATACGTCCAGGCGCTTATATTGAGCCATATCTTCAATGTTGATATACTGATGCCTTGAGGGCATTGCATCTACTTAGGATAGTCCGTTGCACCAAATAGGCTTTGAGGTAAATAATCCATAAGATTCAGCTTCTTCTCTACGTGCCTCCAAAGGAACTGTAGTAAACAATAACTCTGAAATGTGAATCTCAGAAATAAAACATTTAAACTAACGCCAAGGGGTATAACAAATACAGAAATCATTTCTCCCACTGGATAGTTGTTCCGAATATGCCAAAACGCCTCTCCCACCCGAAGCAGTCTGCCAGGCTACAGCCGAGCTCGCGCTCGTCGGGAAGAGTGTGAGAGCACCGGACACCGTACTCTTGAATGCAACACTCGAAGGGCCGTTGCGAGAGCCGATCTGGGGAGATCCCGGACTTGCGCTCTTCCAGGTTTCCCCAGACGTAGAAGAGTCTTTCTTTGAGCTCGGACAGTCTTTGGGGGAATTTCCGTAGGCTGAAGAAAGATACAAGATTAGTATACTAGGGGTCTAATAATGTGTGTATTTGCGCGATATATGACTTACTCCGCTGCATCAAGCTGCAAAAAATGAACCGCGTCCGGACCCGCGACGAAGAGCTTCATCTGTTCCCGTTGCGTCCCTCGGGGAACAGGCTCTGCGCCTTCGACGAGGAGGCAGAAGCGCCACTCCCAGTTTGTGACGCGGTCGCCGTTGGTTTGCCCTGGGGATGCGTCCAGGGTGTTTTCTGCTTTTTCTTCCGGCACGGCGAAGTCTGCGAGGTTTGGGGGGAAGAAATCGACTACTTTGACGTTCGTCCGGTAGCTGAGGTTCTGGAAGGGTAGGCGGTACTCGATTTGGTCGGGGGAAGCGTTGTTGTGGGAGTCTTTGTCGAGGATTGCTTCGATGGTCCGGTTGGGTCTGTGTCGGTGGGATGCTTGGACTAGGTTAGATAGGTAAGCATGTCAGTGCGTCATCGGGCAGTGGCTGGAGATGGATACCGACTTTTGTCATTCAGTTGATTGCGAAAGCTGGTGGGGAGGATCCCTTGGCCTTCTTCCCGTTTGGTGTCTTTTGCTTTCGTCACAGGTCGGTTCCGTTTTTTCGTGCTTTTCGCTGGGTCGTCCGTGTCTTCGAGTTTCCTTTTTTCCGGATGCTTTTCAAGGTACTCTTCTCTTCGTTTGACGAGTTCCTGGGCGTGTTCGTCACTCGTAGCATCTACCTTTTCGACATTGACCGCACGGGGATCATTCCGGTTGCCGGAGATGCTGGCTTCCAGACATCCACCGACGACCCGGCTCCGCTTGATTTGAACATTGCTCAACAAAACAAGATCGTTCTTTTTGAGATTGTTCTGTGCAAAGCTAGAGTGCGGCTCCCACAGGGTCACTTGGATGGTCATTTTCGATGGGCCTTTGGCAGGCTTCGGCCGTCCCTGATAGTTGAACTCGTCCCCTTCCCTCCCGGCCTCTTCATCGTACTCATAGCTAGGCAGGCCCTCGTTAGCCGTATAGTCTGTAACGTAGACAAGAGCCCTCTCGTGGCCATTGGGGATGATTCCCAGAATCTCCACGACAAGACTTGTGTACATGCGCTCTTCAACCTCCCTGATGAGAGAAAAGCTTTTGACGGTTTTGGATCTCTCCATTGAAGCGTTAACCACTGTGTGGGATCGAGGGGCAGCAATACGCTCGGCGCCCTCATCGCGAAAGCCCTTGGCGCCGTGGGCGCCCTCGGCACCGGTAGATTTAGCTAGTAGACCTCTTGCATATTTACTCTCTGAAGGATATGGCTCCCAGGGAGATGGCCCGGTGATGGGGGCCCCTCGCGAATTGGGATCCGGGTCATCACGCCAAATGGCCCATGGGATTGTCTTCTGCTCAGCAGCGACGCCCATCGGCTTCCCGTTCAGGGACCGAATCTGCGATGATCGCGTCAGCGTCACATTTCCAGAAAGATTGCCAAAGACAGATTGGCCACCAACATAGAGATTTTTCAAAAGCACTACGTCGCCTAGTTCGACGGGGGGCAGCTGGCTCTCGTTGCCACTGAAGTACTTGATTCTCAGGCCATCCCATGTATGCCCGTTATTCAGATCCCGGTCTTTGATGGTAAACGTGATGCTGCTGGACTTGTTCTTGGTTTTCCATATGCCTCCAAACACATCAACCACCACCCCAATGACATGCTTATTGCCCTGCTCCGAGATGGCCGTCGCGACATCCGCGTATTTCTCACCGAGTCCGGGCAGCATTGTCAGGAATCCCAGCGCAGATGCCACATGGGTCCTCAATCACGCGACACGTGACCGTACAGACTCAGGGGATTCGTATACACGCCAGGTGGGACTCAGTACGGAAATGACAGTCCTTGGTACTGCCTACGGTGTAAATCGGTTGTAGTAGATTGATGGGAATGGTCGCTTAGGCGGAAGTGGCGCTTAGAGGCGCGCAGCCGCAAACAGCGAATCACAAGCGGCGGCGTCCCGTGACTGAGGACAAACCCACCTCTTTTTTCCCCTCCTTCTCTCTCTTCCTCCATCTCTACGTCTGCTCTTGATCGAGATCGATCTCTTCCTTCTCTCCCTCTTCCTCGTCTAACCTTTTTGGGTTTTTATTTTCCTCTTTCTTTTCTCGGAGATTTCTTCTCCCTCTTCATTGTCTTCATCTCTTTTCCCCCCCTCCCCTCCTCTTGATTAAGTAACAAAACCCACCCCGTTGTGGTGCCCGCTTTGTTTTCACCCCTCCTAAGCAACCATGGCGGAACGCTACATCCCCGAGCATCGTCGCACCCAATACAAGGCTAGGAATCAGTTCCGGCCTGACGAACTGCGTCGTCGTCGTGAGGAGCAGCAGGTCGAGATCCGAAAGCAGAAACGCGATGAGAACCTGGCCAAGAGGAGAGGTATCCAGACCCGGGATGGCGGCATTGGTGTGGGAGACGGTGTGGCCGCTGGCGCCGAGAGTGACGATGAGGCTACTGCTATCGAGAGTGAGGTATGTCTTTTTTTTTTTTTTGTTCATCTCCCTTGTCCTTAAGTCTGGCTGGCGGATTGGGTGGTCTTGTGATTTTCCCTCGCCCCCCCGTCTAGACTGTTTGTTTTTCTCTTTGCCTCTTTTTCATATCTTTTTCACCGCCCGGTTGCTAAGTCGGAGTGGATGATGGGTCAACCAATTTCCTCCGGGACCGCACGACCCACCCGCTTATCCTTGCCCTCTCTACTCGAGTATGGAAAATACCTTGACATGGCTAACACTGGTTTGTTCAGTTGAACGTGGAACTCCCGCAGATGGTCAAGGGGGTCTTCTCCGAACACATCGACTCGCAGATCCAGGCCACCACCAAATTCAGGAAGCTTCTATCCAAGGAGCGTAATCCTCCCATCGAGCGTGTTATCGAGACCGGCGTCGTGTCCCGTTTCGTGGAATTCCTCCGATCCCCCCACACTTTGGTTCAGTTCGAGGCTGCTTGGGCCTTGACCAACATCGCCTCTGGATCTGCCCAACAGACTCAGGTGGTCATCGAGGCCGGTGCCGTCCCCATCTTCGTCGAGCTCCTGAGCAGCCCCGAGCCTGATGTCCGGGAACAGGCGGTTTGGGCCCTGGGTAACATTGCGGGTGACAGCCCTCAATGCCGGGACTTTGTGCTCAACGCCGGCGCTCTCCGTCCCCTGCTGACCCTCATCAACGATGGTCGAAAGCTGAGCATGCTCCGTAACGCCACATGGACCCTGAGTAACTTCTGCCGTGGCAAGACGCCTCAACCTGATTGGACCACCGTACAGTCCCCCAATCCTATACCCATTTACTCGGGCTTTGTCTGACCTGTTCTAGATCGCTCCCGCTCTTCCTGTCCTCGCTAAACTTATTTACATGCTTGATGATGAAGTCCTGATTGACGCTTGCTGGGCTATCTCTTACCTGTCCGATGGTTCCAACGATAAGATCCAGGCTGTGATCGAGGCGGGCATTCCCCGTCGTCTGGTGGAGCTCCTGATGCACGCCTCTACCTCCGTCCAAACTCCCGCTCTCCGGTCGGTTGGAAACATTGTCACTGGTGATGACGTCCAGACCCAGGTGATCGTCAACTGCGGCGCTCTCCCCGCCCTTCTTTCCCTCCTGAGCTCCACCAAGGACGGCATCCGCAAGGAGGCCTGCTGGACGATCTCCAACGTCACCGCTGGCAACTCGAACCAGATCCAGTCCGTTGTTGATGCTAACATCATCCCGCCCCTGATTCACCTGCTTGCCAATGGTGACTTCAAGACCCGTAAGGAAGCCTGCTGGGCCATCTCGAACGCCACCTCTGGTGGTCTGCAGAAGCCCGAGCAGATCCGCTATCTTGTCTCCCAAGGGTGCATCAAGCCCCTGTGCGACCTCCTGGCCTGCCCTGACAACAAGATCATCCAGGTTGCTCTGGATGGTCTGGAGAACATCCTCAAGGTTGGTGATATGGATAAGGAGACGGCACAGGCCGGTGAGGCCCGCGTCAACCGTTACGCCTTGTTCATCGAGGAGGCTGGCGGTATGGAGAAGATCCACGACTGCCAGAACAACGCCAACGAGGAGATCTACATGAAGGCCTACAACATCATTGAGAAGTACTTCTCTGATGAGGACGAAGCGGCCGGTGATATCGACGAGCTTGCTCCCCAGCAAACGCAAACCGGCTTCACCCTCGGCACGCAGCAACAGCAGCCGGGCGGTTTCAGCTTCGCCAACGGTGGCGATTCCATGGATATGTAAAATGGGATCTTTCCCAGTCGGCAGTTTTCTTTTTACTTGAATTGATACCTGAACTTTTTTTTCCCTTCAACTCTTTTTTCTTGTTAGACCCCTTGCGTGGTGGCATTCCTGTCCCCCGGCCCCTCCACCCCGCTATCCCCTCCTACCCAAAAAGAAAAAGAAAAAATGGAGTATTTCTTCCTGTTCATGGACATTCATGTTGGTTCTCAACTTTCTAGGCCTGACCTACTGCAGGTGAGATTTGAGTTGGGTGTCTTAGACATTCCTCTTGAGTAGCGTCACGCAGCTATTCCTTTCCTATTCCTGTTATTTTTCTTGTTTTTGAACATTTGATTGATCACGGTTCCCCTAATTTTCTTTCTTTCCTATCACGAATCCAGCCCTCCCCCCCTTTGCTATGATTTATTTTCCTTTTTTATGTTATTATTTCACGATAACAAGATTCACCGTCATGTATCCCCTTCTCTTGTTTTGCCTCTCTCGTAGCATCTCTCATACAGGCGTAACTTGCACATGTTGAATCAACCGGTTGACTTTTTACCCATCCCCATCCTTCCACCCATCCTTCCACCCCTTTTTGTTTACTTCCCTTGACCCTACAACCTTCGCTGTCCCCCTCTGCGTCTGCAACCTGAGAAAATGCTGTCCGTCCTTTTGTGCTGGAAGTTTTCCGAAGGGAGAAAAGGGAGAAAATAAGGTAGAAATAGCCACACAGCATTCAATTCTAGGTCTTTCACTCTCGAGGTACTGCAGTAGCTTGACAACTTTCATTGAAATCGGAAGCTCATGACTTGCAATTCTGCAGAATTATGTATGTAGTGGACGGGGTATCACTCTATAGCGAGCCCTTTTCTCTATACGACGTCCCCCGTTTTGAACCTCCAGGTCTAAAAAGCCCGTCAACTCTACGACCTACTCTACCCACATACATAGACATCTAGTAGATGGAATGGAGAAAGAAAAGTATTCACAAAGACAGCAACGCCATGGGTAACTCATAGGTATATACAAGAGCGTAAAGTTACATACCGGGTCGGTTCGATACATACATCGCGCGCAACAAATTCACTGCCTGCTTCTTTCCTTCTCTTTCCTTCCCTTCCGTTCAATCGCCTTCTTCACTGCCCGCGATACGAAGGTCAATCGTGAACAGGGTAATCGAAGTGATTTGCGCGGAATTAGGGACTGCGGAATAGGGACGAAAGGTGGAAGAAAGAGGAAGAAGAAGAAAAAGGATCTGGAATATGAAGTGAAGTAACGAGCCGCGGGAATAAAAATATAAAAAAAAGTAGGAACCACGAAGAGGGGAAATAATAAATCTGTAGACAGAGAAATAAAAATAAAAGTAAGGAAGAAAAGTGTCCATAGCAGAAAGGATCAGAGACAGAAAAGAAAAGCAAAGAAAAAAAGGTGACGAAAATAGAAATGAGAAGAAGATGAATCGTGAGGTGAAAGATATCCACCATCCGTAAACAGCCCCTTCCATGGACAAGAGACGAAGCCAGCCAGCCACACAAACAAATCAATCAATCAATATATCATATCTTGTCTATCAGTCAATCAATCACCCATCACGTCGTCCTCGTCCGGTTCAGGCGTCCGGGGATTCTCATCCTCCTGGTCATTCTCCCGGTCAATCTCGTTGTCTTCGATGAGGCCCCGCGCTCGGAGTTCCTCCTCGTCGTCTTCGTCCGCGCGGTGGCGAGTCTCCTCCTCATCCTCGTCGTCGTCGTCGTCTTCAATCCGTTCGGTGGATTTGTGGTCGTTCTTGCCAGCACCCTTGGACCCGCCCCGTGCGGGCTGCTTGCTCTTGGACCGCGATGCGGCAGCGGCCTTTGGCTTGCGCTCCTCGAGGAAGGAGAGGACCTCGCGGTAGTTGTGGCCCAGGTGAGACTTGTGTCTGGTCAGACGCTTTTTCAACTGGCCCCGTTGGGATCCGGAACCGTCCAGAATGCGCCCAATGATAGCCAAAACAATCTTGCCTGTCAATTCGCAGAGGCGCTGCTCCGCGATGATTGAAGACCGCAGGCGTTGGGTGGATGGCGATTCTCCTTCAGAACCTGTCTCTTCGTCGTCCGACGGCTCCTTTTCGAGATCGGAGTCAGACTCGGGAGCGTCATCCTCGGCAGGTTCGAGAGGGAGACGAATCAGTTTGGCATAATTCCGTTCGGCGATCCCGTGGATTTTGCCGATGAGTGACTGGGTGTTCGCGTCGACTTCATGCACCAAACCTTGGGTTTGGAAGATGACCTCCTCGTCGTTACCCACGCCCTGCCCGGCGTGTCGGAGTGTTCCGAACAGCGTTTGTAAGTCCAGGAGAGTGGTGGTTGCTGCGAAACGGACGTCGTCCAAGCCCGAGCGTTGCCGCATGATAGCAACGAGGATTGACACAAATGTCTCCCGGCTTTTTGTCAATGTTTCAAAGTAGGCCGTATTCAACGACGCCTTCCCGGTAGCAAGGACCGTGACCAGGCCTTGGACCTTCCACATGAAATAGAAAAGTAGCGTCCGCATACTGTTGATGACCAACTCGGTCTCTGCCTTGGCCGAATCCTCGTCTTCCTCGTCATCGCGTAGTCCTCGTTCTACGAGGTGTGTGAAGATGTTGAATGGCGCCTCTGCGGCATCCTTCTTCTTCCCTTTAGACTTGGTGGCCGGCGTGGCTTCTAGAGCCGCGGTGCAATCAGTCACGCTCGCAAGGTTCGAAATTCTGGTCACCGTGTTGGTGAGCTCATTAAGAGTCGAGGCAGACAGTGAACTGCCCTCCACAACATCCTTCTTACGAGACAACGTTCCGAGCGTGTCGATCATATCATCCCATAATTCTTGCACCTTGCTTTCCAGCGCATCCCGCATATCGTCGGAGCTCTTTGCATGAAGGAAGGCAACGCTAGCCTCGGCCAGCACATCCTGGTCGGAATGTGTCAGGAACTGCTTGTTTATATCATTCAGTAAGGAGGTGTAGGCGGTGGCATCCCTCTGCAGGTCCTGGATCTTGTCCAGGTCCACGAGGTGTTCGAGTCGCAAGACGGCCGACGCAGCTTCTGGGACGGAGCCGAATTTATTCAGGAGCTGAGGGATGATCTGTGCGAGGCTGTGGGCGATTTCTTCCTGTAGTTCTGGAATCCTATCGGTCAAGGTCTTCACTTTCCGGCCTCGCTTGTCAATATCAGATTTGGCGACCTCGAGCACCCGCAGTTTCACCGCACTGCAGAGCACCTCCAGAAGGATCATTTCTTGGCCCTCTTGGATTTTGTACAACCGCTTGACGGCGCTCGCAGTATCATTATCCGCAGAGTCGTCGGCGATCTGAGAGTGGTCGTAAAGAAGATAACCCGCCAAAGATTGCCATTGGCCAAGCTCTGTAAAATAGGGGTAAATAGCCTCAGTCGCAAGGACAAATCGCGAGTCGAGCGAAGCGCCTGACAGAACATCCCTCGAGGCGGAGATAGGTCGATCAGGCTTTGACTCATTTTCTTGCTCGTCGTAGGCTTGGAGAGTATCAACCAAGCATTTGTACTTGATCCAGGATTGCTTTGGGGATTCGAAGTCCTCCTCATCTTCGTCGGCAAACATTTCGCTCGCCTCCTCTCCAAGTTCCTCGATCGTAGACTCAAATACATCCTGCACGCTAGCGACGAAGAACCGACCCGCTGTCTTTCGTACTCGGGGCTCCGAGTCGAAGATGAGTCTCCCGACAACGTCCACATCGGCGGGCTCGACCAGCCCTGCGTCTCGGATGAGGTCCAACAGTTCAATTGCGGATGCGCGCACCCCGACGTCAGCGTCGTTTGCAGCCATCTCGACGATGCGTTGGCGGAAACGCTCGATGAACGACCGAATACCAGCCACGTTGTCCTTGTTGTCAAATAGACTCCGGATCTGGGCGACAACTACGGAACGAGTGTGGGGAACCGGATCCGATAAGATCCATCCAAAGTACCGAAGGAACTGGCCTTCAAAGAAGTATTCCCGGTAGCTGCGCATCCACTGGCCCAGAGCCGCCATGCACTCAGAACGAATCTTGGGGTCGACGTCCCGATAGCGATGGACGAATACAATGTTGACTCCGTCCTTCAGGTAGTCATCGATTGTCTCCAGCTTCTTCTCACCCTCTTGAACAGCGGTCTCGATCGCGTCAGCCCTGCCCTTATTCACCGACTTCTTTCTCCTCTCGCTTTCGAGCTGTTTTCGGGACGTGGAAATGGAAGTCATCAACTCGCGGGCAACATCACACATGGCATTCATGATATTCACGGCGACAACGGTGGCGGTGTGCCTAAAGGGGCGACAGTGGGAGGTCGACATGGCCGAGATCCAAATTTGCAGGTTTTCATAGAGCTTTTCGTCATCATACAAGACGGACGAGTGGTGCAAGGTCTGAAACAGAGAATTGAAGAATTCGGCGAGAACGGGTTGCAGCGCTCGGTACTTCTTCGCTTTTGAGATGAGAGGGTATTCGGAGATGCCTTCGGCGTGGTACAGATTTTGCAAATCCACGATGCGATCCGGGCTGTGATCGGGATCTTCGATATCTGCGGCGCTCACTTCGAGATCAGTACCGGTACACCGGAGAATGAAATTGACCATGTCCCGCATGGCGGTGGATTGGTCCTTCTGGTAGCGGGTGAGCCAATCCGCGGCGGTGGTGTCGGCATTGCGGCCTTTCCCAAAGACCTCCGCTACATATAGTTGTTAGCTACCGCGTGTAATCACCCGTGGAGAGGGCAGAGCGATCACCATACCGTAAAGACCCCGTTCGCCAGCAGCCAGGCTAGGCCGCACCTTAGGTTTCCGGGGACGCGACACCACTTTCCTCCCACTAGGAGCGGGACGGAATGCCAATTGATTACCGGTTCCATTTTCGACAAATCTGGGCTTCTTCGCCGCACGAGACTTCGTTTTTGGCTTCGACCCGGAAGCGGCTTTCTTTGCGGACGCCCGGCGCGCCGCTCGTTTCTTCTCTCGTAACTCTTCTTCATCGGGCTCATCATTGGACACGTCGCCTTCAGATTCCGACGCGTCATCAATGTCCTCGGCATGGCCCTCGCTATCATCATCCTCATCGTCGTCATCACCAGTTGTGTTGCGCTTGCGTTTTCCGGGCGTCGCGCCATTCTGTGAGCTGAAATTTTGGGAGAACAATTCCGGTTTCCGTGTCGCGCGGCCCGATTTCCTTCTGCTGGCGGAGCTGTCGTTCTCGGCCATATCTGGCTCGGGGCTGGTCAGTTGCGACTCAGGATCCATTGTGTCGGTAGTCGCAGGCACTGGAAGCCAAAGATACGTCAGTCAGCGATCCCTATTCCAAGAACTCTCATGTGGGTATATTTAATTTCCGCTCTCTAGGAAATAGACTTGATCAAGCGCGGGGAAGACAGAATAGAGGAGGGGAGTGTAGATTTGGATGGTTTGGTGACGTGAAACGCGATGCTTTGCCAACGCACCCGAGATGTTTCTTTTGCGCGCGCGCGTTTCCTAGCACACCGCGCGGGGCTGGAGGAAATAAATCCTGGGGAGGTGGTCAAGAGTCAATGGGACGCATTAAACCCTCAAGAGAGCAGTCGCCACGGTGGACGGAGGGGACGGAAAGGAGCAGAGTCGAGCGAGAGGGATGGCGGTAGGTGAGGGGAGATGATGATGATTGATTATTGGGAACACGGGGAGATGCTTTCCGTTACCTAAGTTGGCTCCCACACGCGCCTGGGTGCCTGGGTGCCTGAAGGCCTGGCCTCCACCCTGTTGCCTCAGGCTATAAATAATGTTTTATATTATATAATATTTATGCATTGTCCCTTATCCGGTGGAGACGGAAACAACAGCCGTACCGTAAGATATTGTAAGATACCGTCACAGACCGAGCCTGGCGCATCTACGAAGGGCAACATCTGACATGCACGAACCCTAATCCTGGGTCCCCCGGAGAGAAAAGAAAACGATGCCGTAATGGATATCACGATGTGCTCCATCGCAAAGCTCCATGCCCACCAATTATACCAGAAACCCAAGACTACAAGACCCAGCCAAGACGGGTTGGTTCTGATGCCTAGCTAAGACCGGAAGACCCCCGCTTTGAGTGCCTGGATCAGCAATACGTGTAACGGCCAAAAAAAAGAGCCATGCGGATGACGAAGTATCCATCTATCTATCATGCGCTCCACAAGCCACTCCCCAGCATGGACTATGCAGACCCAACACACCTTTTGCCATGGTCCATCCTGACATACCCTGCTCTGGCTCGTTGATCTATGATACATTTGTTTTATAAATAATTCGTCCTGCCTGAGCCCTTTCCTTTCTTTCTGGATTTTCCCCCCGACATGCTCATCCCGACTGAAGCTATCTCCCCGCCAAACTACCACCACCACCACACCACCATGCCGATAAAATCCCCTTTCGAGGCCTGCGTCGCTAAGCCCGGTCAGGGCGACGTCGTCCTCTCCCTCCTACCTCCCTCCAATCCGACTCTAACCACCCTGACCTACAAATATCCTCTCAAACTCCTCACCCGCGCTCCGGGCTACGTACCCCAGTCCTCCGCCCTCTCCTGTCCGACCTCCCGCCCCGTGCACCTCTACCTCCTCACCTACGGCGGCGGCCTCCTCCCAGGCGACCACATCGCCGTCACAATCACACTCGAGCCCCAAACTCGACTCGTCGTCACAACCCCCCAAGGCAGCACGAAAATCTACAAAACCGAGCCAAACGCCAGCGTAAAAGGCCACCGCGGGCCGTCCCCCGCGCACGCCCTCTCCGACAAAAGCCGTCAAAATATTGACGTGCGCATCGGCCGCGAAGCCGCCCTCTGCTACCTCCCAGACCCATCCGTCCCCTTCAAAGACAGCCGATACGAGCAAACCCAGAGATTCACCATAGACGGCACCGTCCAAAAAGACACCCAGCGCAGCAGCCTCTGCGTCCTCGACTGGGTAACCCAGGGGCGCGCCTCGCGCGGCGAAAACTGGGACTTCCACCTCTGGCGTGGAAAGAACGAGATCTGGTCCGCCGACGAGACCGGCGCCAAGAAGCTGCTCCTCCTCCGCGACTCGCTCATCCTCGACAGCGAGCTCGACGAAGGCTGCCTCGAGAACGCGGACGAGACCCTCCACCGCACGAACCTCATCCGCGAGCGCACCCGCCCCCACGGCGTCGTCGGCACCCTCATCCTCTACGGCCCTATCTTTGAACACCTCGCCTCCTTCATCATGGACCGCTACACGTCCCAGCCGCGCATCGGCGCGCGGAATTGGTCCTCTTCTGCTCCCGCCGTGGAGGAGACTACCTCGCACTACGACGCCAAGGTCACGTTCACTGCGTCGCGTGTGCGCGCCGGGTTCGTCCTCCTCAAGTTTGGCGCGCCGGACTTTGAAACCGCTAAGAATTGGCTGAGTGACATGTTCCGCGAGGAGGGCACGGTGGTGAATGAGTTTGGAGAGGAGGCGCTGTTCTGCTTATGATTTGGGACGCATAACTTTTGCTTTTTTTTTTTTTTTTCTTACTTTCCCTCTCTCTTTCTGTCTGCATTGAGAGAGCTTATGCTATTGAGCGTTTTGTACACGAACTTTGCTATCATCCATCCAATGGCGGTATAGAGCCCGCCGATCAGATAGATATGATACCCACGAATCAATCAGAATCGGTTCGATATTTTCTTTATCAAATCTACGTCTTCATATTAAACGTACGTATCTCTTTCAAAAGAATGTCCAGTCATTGGCGTAAGATAGCGCAAGATTAATCCACGATTGCCTTATCCACTCCAACCCACTCGACAAATGAACCCTAAGAAACATACCACTATCAGCGAGAGTGGATAGGTAGTAAGTATCTTTGGGCATGAATAGATATACAAATTATCATGCAAAATCCTGTAGCCGGGCGCCCCATCGTCACACTATGCGAGATGACGCAGTTCAGTAAGACACGGCCAATCTGTCAGATCTGTCGTCATGGGACATGTGTACTGCACCAAGGATTAGAAGAAGAAAAGAGGAAAGAGTGAAGAATATAGTATAATATAAAATAAAATAAAAAGTATAAGCATGACTCCACACGTCAGGCCTCGGCTACGGTGATCGTCACTTGGGCTGTGCGTTTGGACGATCGTAAGCCGCCTACCGTTGCATGCAGAGCTTGCTAGTTAACTAACTACTCAAATAAAGAATCATATATAACCGGTAGTCACCGATCAGCCCCACCAGTCCGACACCTCAAGTCTCCAATCGCCCTTCGCAGCACTCCGAAGATCATCCACATTTAAAACATCGACTCCCTCACGAGTCAGCACCCTCCAGAGATAATTGCGCAGACTGCGCGGCCAGCTCGCCAGCGCCCAATACCGCACCTTGAGACCCCGGTCGTGCGCAGCCTGGATTTGGGCCCGCATCTTACTGAGCTGTCGCTCTCTGAGACGGAACAGCCACGGCTGCCCGATCGACTTCTTGAAAGACACCGACGCGTAGTAGCTGTTGGTCCAGTTGAAGCTGTTGGGGGTGATGGCTGCGCCGGACAGGCCGGAGAGCCCTTGGCCGGCGTTCTTGGCGGGTGGGTTTGTAATGGCAGCTTCTTGGTGCTCGTTGTCGCTGCCTGCGGTAAAGACTTCTAGCGGGGCGTCGAAGAATATGTCGCGGTAGGTGGTGTTTGCTATTACCATGTTGAAAGGCGTGTTACCTGTTCCGACGACGGTGACTGGTCTGTTGACTAGGTCTGTGCCGTTGTAGTGGGTGAGGTAGCCTCGCTCGCGCAGTGGGGAGAGCTGCGCGGATACCTGATGCCAGGTTTGTAGGCCATCGGTCTTGATATCGACAAGTAGGATCAGACTCTGTGATAGGTCCGTGTCGAAGACGCCTTGCAAGGGCTTACTTAAACTGGGATGGAATGCTGTGGTAGGGTTTTGCCGGTCCAGGATCCTGAGCAGCGGTTCGAGGTACAGGTTCCTCAGGGTGCGCTGTGGGGTGAGAGCAGAGGTAGAATGGCCGACATAGAGATCATCGCCGAAGAGCCAGACGTCGGCCTCAACGCCAACACAGCCCGCTTGGAGCGCAGAGAAGAGGGGGACCGGACGCCAGTAGTCATTGTGCGAGTGACACCCGACCAGGCGGATATCTTTCGAGATGGCCGTCGGCCAATGCGACGCGTCCTCGCTCGAGCCTTTGTGTGAGAGACGCCAGCGGTCCGCTGCGCGGTCGACATCATCGGGGAAGAAGGAGATGGCTATTCCGCAGGCTATGGCAGCAAACTGGACAACCCCGCTGTCATTGGATTAGCGGTTTTGTCACAACCGCCCCCGCTCCGGTGGTCGTATATCCAAACGGGACTCACAGCATGACAAAGAAACCCAGTAGAGGGTACAACCAACAACGAGAGAAGTGCCTGGAGGTTGCCAAGTCCTTCCTGAGCTTGTGGGCCGAGATGGGTGGCTGACTAGGCGAGGTAAGCAGCGGCAGCGCATCATCGGACTCTGTATTGGCGGAGGACGAGAAGCGGGAGGCGGTCGCGACTCGACGCCACAGGGAGCGCCATCGGGATGGGGCAATTTCTCCGATGGGGATGGAGTCGTCTACGGCGAGGCCAGACTCGCATCCGTCAGGGGGAGGTTTATCCTGACTCTTGCGCAACAAGGAATGGAGATCATCGTGTGCCCAGAGTGTGCATGGAATGGGAGCTGGGCTGGATTGCGGGGAGTGGGGCGCCATCTTATCACTTCTTGATCATGATTCGATTATTGGCGGTCTTGGCGATGGGTTGATGCAGAATTGGTTGCCTTTGAGATGCTGGAGATGTTTTGTTTGCCTTTGCTTTGCCTGGATATCGAAGTGACACAAATGGATGGGCTGATGAATGAAGATGTCCCAGTCTTCCCAGTGTAGCACATGAATCCTTGGCTCAGCATGCGGAACGAGGGACGCCATGGACATAGCCAGCTCTATACTGGGAGGTAGATATCTGCTATTATTACAGCTCTGTGGGTCTGGCTTTTTGGCTACATTACCATCTGATACTCATGAAGTGTCTTTTGGGGTATCTGCCTGATCTAGAAGCGTCTCGGTCATCAAGCATTCAGGCATGAAAGTCTATTCAATTCACAGTATAACTAATAACTCATAACTTGGTCCAGGTCCAGCCCTTGCACCAGTTCTCTCACCTTGGACATGTCCTCTGGCGATCATGACGTACCGATCATGGTATGTAAATCTTCCATCAACTCCCCGTGGTTGCCAACCCATCCACAACTACCTTACTTTATGCTATTGCCTAGCATCGCCACCATGCAATTCACACCGCACAATTTCTGAACACACCGACACGCAACCCCTATTCCGTTCCAGAAGAAACCTATGAAAGGAACCCCCACATAGGCCGGTCACAGCCCGGTATACCATAAATAAAGGGTTGGTGCGAACGAGTCAAGAAACAACCGCGCTCTCCACCACGTCTTGGCGCCGGAGCGGGGTATTTCGGAGGATGCACGAAGAACTGGCAAAACCCGGTTCAGGGCGAGAATGTATGGTACCGGAGTACTATGTGTAATTCCGGTTACCGTCGACGTTTGCAGTACTGTGTACTAGATTTATGCACATCGTGTGGTTAATAATAGGCTGTTGTTCTGTTTGTTTCCTATGTCCACCGACGTTGACGGGGGGGGGAGGAAAAGAAAAAGAATACGACTCAGTCCTCTCAGTAAAATTAATTCTATAGGCTTGATATGGAATAGAGGACTACGGGCTAAGCAAAAAATTGAAAAGCAAAAAATAAATTCGTATTGCACTGGCCGGGAGTCGAACCCGGAGCTGTTCTTAGCCTTGAATGGAAGAGAACGATGTTACCGCTACACCACCAGAGCAGTTGATTGATTGAGGTTTGATATCTTTGCTCTATGTTCCTATGTTGTTCTATATCATTATCGATTCAAAATTGCCGGTTGCGATTGGACTACGAGTTGGATTCAAAGGCAAGCAATGGGCGAGCTTGACTTTTGCTGCGGATATTATGTGAGTGCTTGTAAATTCCAACGTGGGACCGTGTCATGGGTATGGGGAAGCACGATAGGATAGGCAAGACGAATATATATCTACACCCGCATATATTCATATCCTCCGCCGAGTAACCTCGCATTCAGATCAATGATCACCAGATTCTCCTCGCTGGACCATGTAAGAATAGAAACCCGCTACATTTATCTATACAATAAATTCCTTTGCCATCTCAGTAGTATCGTCCATTAGCTGCTCCTATGTAAACACACGAACAACGACGAGCGGCAAGCGGACGGACCTTATCAGTCCCGATTAGATATCGAGCGACAAGCCACCCCAAGAAAAAAAAAAAGTTCTCCGTCCGCCTCACCCACCCATCAACATCCAGAACCACCATCAACCTCAAACCACACCCATCATGCCTCACAAGCACAAAAGGCGCGGAAATGACGCGAAGTAAGTTGGCGAAACCGAGTCGATACTTGAGATCGTAGCTCGCGCAATAGCTAACCCACTTGGACCACAGCATCTACGACCTCCCCCCGTCGATGATCGCAAAGGCCCTCCCCGTCCGCGACCCCAACTCCAAACCCAAGAAGTACGGCAAAGACGGAAAGAAGAACCAGAACCAGAACCAGAACCAGAACCCCAAAGACGCAAACGCAAAGAAGACGGACCCCCAGGATAAACTCCAAGCCCGTCGCAGGGGCGCCACCGAAGATGATACCCCCAAGGCCTTCCTCCGCCTGATGCAGCGCCAGCCGCGCGGGAAGCTGGCCGCCTCCGCCGCCGCCGCTGCAGCCGCCGCCGAAGCAGGGGAGAAGAGCAAGAAGCGCAAGCGGGACGGCGCTGATAAATCCGACAACGCGGCCTCACGGAAGAAGAAGACGGGAAAGCCGGCGGCGGCAGCGGCGGAGACGAAAGCACAGCCTGGGCCTGAGCCTGCGGCGGCGGATGTCAAGCCCCGGGCGACTCCTAAGATTCTGCCCGGGGAGAGGCTGTCTGATTTTGCGGCGCGGGTGGATCGCGAGTTGCCGCTGTCTATGATGAACAAGTCGAATAAACCGGCGCCGTCGGATTTGCCGAAGGTTCGCGATCACCGGTTGACGAAGCATGAGAAGCATTTGCGGCGCTTGCAGGAACAGTGGCGGAAGGATGATGTTACCATCAGGGAGAAGGAGGAGGCGCAGAGGGAGGAGCGCGAGGAGGAGATGGAGGAGCAGTTGGAGCTGTGGAAGCAGTGGGAGGCTGAGGGTGGGGCGCGCAAGGCGAAGAAGAAGGGCGGTCCGGCTAGGAAGAAGGCGGGTGGTGAGGGTGCTGGGGTTAAGGGTGATGCTGATCCGTGGGCGAAGTTGAATAAGAAGGAGCGCAGCAACAAGCCGGCGAACTTGTTTGATGTTGCGGAGGCGCCGCCGCATCTTACGAAGCCTACTGCGAAATTCAAGGTCCGTGATGGTGCGAGGGTGGACGTGGCCAATGTTCCGGTTGCTGCTGGTAGTTTGAGACGACGAGAGGAACTCGCGGGCGAGAGAAAGAATATCGTCGAGGAGTATAGGCGTCTGATGGCCGCGAAAAGGCAGTGATTTTTTCAGATACCCTGTTATACACGACAGATTCTACGTTAATTTTTGCTTCAAACAACAAGCCATATTTTGCATACATCTAGCTAAGTAGGATAACCCAAGTAGTAAACCCAAGTAGTATACAAGTGTACGGTACAGAGAAATTATATGCAACCTGCCATGGCTTTTTATGTACAATAATCTACCGATATCCCAAAAAATAACTTGCTATAAGAACCCAACAATTCTAGCGACCCCAAGTCTACTCCTCCTGCTGCAGGGACTTGACGTAGTCCGCCGCCTTGGCCTTGGTAGCCTCGACCGTCTTCTCACTGCCACTCTTCTCCTCGAAAGCGAGCCACTTCTTGAAGAGGGCCTTCGCCTGCTTGGGCCGGACCTTCTTGGCCTCTCCCACGGAGGCACCGCCCTTCTTGGCATCCCGGATACCAAGGACGCGCTCAAACAGGCGGCGCACTTGCTCCGCGTCGCCGGCCTTGATTTCCAGGTCGAGAAGGACGTTCCAGAGATCGAGCCGCTTGGGGAAGGACGACAGGAGTCCTTCGAACACGGTGCGGCCGCGCTCGACGTCTCCGTGCTCGGAGCGGAACTCCAGCTGTCCGAACTTGGAGGTCAGTTCCACGTGGGTGTGCTTGGGCATGGACTGGAGAGCGCGGGGCAGGAGAGCACGGGCACGGTCTGGCGCCACCATGTTGTCGAATAGGAAAGTGGCGTAGTTGATGAAGAACTTGGTCGAGTTGAAGATCTTCTTCTTCATGGCGGCGTAGAAGAGATCGTTCGCGTTCTGTTGACAGGAGTTGTTAGCAAGACGTGACACGATGTAACCCCCAAAGTTTCAACATACCTTGTTCTTCCCAGATTGAATGTAGATACTGAGCATCCGCTCGTAGACCTCCTGGGTATCGTTGTATTGACAGGCGCGCTTGAAGACCTCCTCCAAGGAGTCGTCATTGCCGTACGTGTTCTCCAGGTTGAGCAACGCCACCCAGATATTCAGCTTCTCGACATCCTGCCCGATGGCAATGGTGCGGAGCGCACGCTCGGCAATCTCCCTGGCCTTTTCGACCTCACCCAGCTCCAGCTGGAAGGCCATGTACTGAAGCCAGAGGAGGGAAGAGTCAGGCTCTCCAAGCAAGAGTCGCTCGTAGTCCGCGACGGACTGCGGCCCATTGGCGTCCAACTCACCAGTACGGTCGACTTGGATTTCGGGCTTGCGGTGCTTCTTGCGCTTCTTGCGCGACTCCTCGTCATCGGAATCGGACCGCGCAGCTTCATCGTCGTTGCCGTTGATCTCCCCGTTCCAGTCGAATCCGCTGTCACCGAGCCCGCCTTCGCGGGTTCGGGGAGCACTGACCATCTCTTCATCGTCGCTCGCTTCGTCGCCGCTCTCGCTCTCGCTTTCGAGCTCAATTCCTCCCATAGCGATGTCGCTATCCTCCTCCTCGTCATCGTCATCTTCATCATCGTCATCAATCTCGCTGTCATCGCCTTCAATGTCGACGCCGCCCGAGCCCTCAGACTCACTGCCACTGTCCTCGTCCTCGAAGTAGGCTGCCTTGAGTCCGAAAGAGATCTTTCCTTGAGCACGGTCGATCTTGAGAATCTTGGCCTTAACGGCATCGCCCTCCTCATACACGGTCCTGGCATCGTCAACCCGGTTTTCAGCCATCTCCGAACGATGGCAAAGACCGCTGATGTTTGCAGAACCGTCGACGACAATGAACGCACCGAACTCTTCGACCTTGCGGACCTTGCCGGTGACGATCTGACCAGGCTTGAGATCGTGGAGAGTAACAGGGGCTTTGTAGTTGGGATCTAGGACGGATTCCTTAAGGCTCATCTGCAATTTTCCTTGCTCGGCGTTGGCAACGGTGACGCGGCCCTTCACCAGCTGATCGGCCTGGAAAGAGTCCTTCCATTCCTTGAGGTAGGAGTCCGAAAGGTCAGAGACACGAACGTAAGCGGTAACGCCGTGGCCCACGGTAACGAAGAGACCGTTATCGGCAACTCTCCGCACGAATCCGCGAACGACGTCATTTGCCTTGAGCTGCTTGATCGATGTGATTTCTTTATCTTGCACGGGAAGCGACGAGCTCAGAACCTTAGATGGCCGAAGGGAAAGAGAGATCTTCTTGTTGGACTTATCAACGCTGATGACGCACGCACGCAGGACCTCATTCTTTTGATAGATCGTCGGGTTGGCCTTGCTGTAGTCGTCCGCCAGATCGATGAGATCGACTGCACCGACAATCGACTCAGAGAGTTGCATGATGAGTTGACGCTCAGTGATCTTCGTAATTCTGCCAGCCAGCACCATGCCCGGAGCGATATCGGCAAACGCAAGTTTATCCGAGCGATGCTTGGCCGAGAAATCAAGTCGACCATGAGCAGTGTCAACGGAGATGACGTTGACCTTCAAAGCAGATCCAATAGGGAAATGCTTTTCAATGTTAGTCAAGAGCGACAGGTCGTCAGACGCATCCATAAAGCGCAGCCTGCCCCGAACGTTCGGCGACAGATTAACCCAGAAGCAGTCATCGGCGATGTTATTGATGAAACCCAGCTGGGATGAGCCCACGGGTACCTCCTCCAGGTTGAGCATTTTAGGATTGGCGGCCTTCAGGAAGCTTGGCTTGATGGAAAGCTCGAAAACGGGGAACTTCCCCGTACGGTGACTGATGGGCAGGAACTTGTGGTTGCGAGCGTCGTGGACTCCCAGAATACGCGCCGAAATGACATCCTTGGGTCGGAAGAATCGCAAGGGCTGCTTTCGGTCCTTGATGTCCTCTAGCTTGTCGAAAACCTCGGACATGTCGATGCGGCCCTGGACATTATCTGCGAGTTGGACATTGACCTGGGTGGCCTTGACGGAAACAACCTTGCACTTGACAACCCTCCCGAAGGTGAGTTCGGACATGGTGCTGATACTCTCATCAACAGCATTGGCGACAGTCTCATCTGTCGGAGTATCCTTGACTTTGGTAGAAGATTTGGAAGTTTTCTTCTGGATGCCTGCGCGGGTCGGCTCGGCAGGGTCCATGCTTAGGATGAATCTCCGGAAGTCGAGATCGATCGAATGGACCGTAGCCATGACAGTCTGAGATTTTTCAAGATTGAAACCTGGCTTGTTGGCATTCTCAGCACCGACCAACCGCTTGGGGACCAAGCCGATGACGCCGCCCAGGAACTCAACAAACACGCCATCAGGAGTGATGTTACGGACGAAACCGGTGACCTGAGCGCCCTCCTGGAAATCCTCGAACGCCTCTGGTAGGTGGCCCTGCTTGGCAGCCTTCTTCAGACTAGCCCTTGCTGAGACCTTGATGAGTCGACGAGAGCGCTGAATATCGAGGACAAGGAGATCATTGAGCTTTTGGCCGACCCGGATCTTGGAGAGAGTTGAGACCTGTTTGTTGAGAGAACCGTCGGCAACATGCTCGAGATTCAACCGACCGACAAGTCCAAAGTCGTCCAGCTTGAGAAGCAAGTCATCACTTGACTTCTCAAAGACCGTGCCCGTGACGAGCATTTTCGGATGGATCTGTTCGAAAGCCTTCTTGTAGCTTTCGGTGAACGTGGAAGGATCCTTGCAAGACACTGCCAACTTTCCAACGACTGGGTCCACACTCAGAGCATGGACACTAACCACCTGGCCTAGTCTGAAGTGTTGCGAAGGATCCTTGATGAAGGCCTCACTCATCTCCGACACAGGAAGGAAGCCCCGAACAGAACCGTAGAACTGCACCACGGCACCGTGAGGCTGGAGGTTGACGATGGTACCAGGGGACAACGACCCAGGCACAATGTCGTCGTAGTTCTTCCAGATAGCAGATTCACTGTTCAGCAGACTCTTCTTCAGGGTCAGCCGGATTTGACGTTTCTCGAGATTTACCGACAAGATCCTGACGGAAACAGTCATGCCCTCGCGGAATTTCTTCTCGGGAAACTGGAGAGGAGCATCCGCAAAGTGCATCGACGGAACGAGACCAGTGATGCCGTCCGCCAATGAGACAATGAGACCATCCACACCGGTAGAACCGATTAGCAGCTTCTCAACCGTTCCTTTGACCACAGCGCCGATGGTCACATCCTCGATACGGAGGAAAGGCTGATCAATGACCTTCCTTTCAAACGAAAGCAGATACAGGTTGTCAAGCGTACTGTAGCCGACGACCCTAGCCTCATGGGTAGTATCAAGTTGGAAAGGTCCATGGTCAGCCGAGATGTTTTCAACATTTCCATCCGCTAATCTGGAAACATGGACAAAACCAATATGCTTTGTCGATCCGATCTGGACGTAGACGCCCAGGCCCGGGTCGACCTTGATAATATTGGCCTCTGGCACCACTGCGGAGATGGCTGGTGCGTCGTCGGAAGAGCCAGGGCCCGCACGTTCCGAGGAAAACTTGAGGACGTGGTCGAGGATGGAAAAGCCAACCTTGTAGGGCTCGGACGAGGGAAAGGTGCAGACGAGACGACCCTTGACCTTGGCGCCAATTTTGAACTTCGTGGTGAGATCGTCCTTTTTGGAATTACCGCCAGATTGCACAAGGTCGACGGTGGTATCCAGCATGCCCATGATCTTTCCAATCAATCCGTTCGGCGTGACCTCCGTCAGGAGAATTTCAGCGGCGGTACCCGGGATGAAAGAGTTGATAGTCGGGGCTGACTCGAGATAGTGCGACTTCTTGATAGAACCGGAGGACTGAAGGTTGGCGGACAACTTGACCACACTGCCACTGGTGTTCTGTCCAGTGATCATGCACAGAAATACGGCGCCTTCTTTGATGCTGGAGTAGTCGGTCTTGGGATCGATTTCCTTGGAGGAAACGAAGCCCTTGATGTCGGCGCCTTCGATGCCCAGGTCCATGACCAGGCCGTGATCTTCGACACTGACAACAGACGCCTGGACAGCTGTATTTGTGACCAGATCCGACTTGAGAAGGCCGTGGTTCGCTTTCCTTGGGTCCACCGTAAGCTCGATGCGCTTCTTGCCCTTGGAGCTAGAGGCGTCCTTATTCCCAACCGAGACGACGTATGCACGCAAGTACTGGCCTAGATAGAAGTACTTGTGCAGGTCCAAAGAATCTTCGTCCTCGTCCTCATCCTCCTCGTCGCTGTCCTCCTCTTTCAAGAGTGCCTCAACCTTCTCCTCGAGCTTCCGCGAGACGGCGGTCAAAGGGACGTAGCCCGTGAGGTTATTGGGCAAGGAAAGACCGATATCGTGAGCATTGATGCTTGCAACCTGACCTAGTACCATGGATCCCGGAACAAGCCGCTGATTTCATCAGTAAGTGGACTTGGATGTGGGGGTAATAGATGCCGCGGCGCAGACATACCTTGAAGTTGAGACCTTCGATCCGCACCGTTTGCTCCTCCTGGTGATCTTTCTCCGCGCGCTTCTGACCCTTCGTTTTCCGCTTCCGAGACTTCTTCGCAGTGGTATCATCGGCGTCGTCCATCTCTTCATCCTCGTCGTCATCTGCTTCCACATTCGCGGAAGAGCCTTTCGGGCCTTTTTGTTCGAATAGTACATCCTTTGTTGCTTGAATCTGGATCTGTTTCCGCTCCAGCGGCGTCAACACGCTCCCTCCACCACGAGGGAAAGAGGGCTCATCATCGCGCAGCACTGTGAGCTCAGAGGCTTTGGGAGCGGCACTCGACTTCTCCGCAGAGGCATCTGATTTTGATTTCTTTTCGTTTTGGCGGTCTTCCTCTCCGACACGCACACGTTTCTGGGGCTGACGAGCAGTCGCCTCCTCTGCCACATTGCCCTTGCGCTTGATAGGAGCCATTGTGGAAATGGCAAAGTGAATGAGGCTCAAGCGCAGACTCGTGGAGCTGCTTTTTTCAAAGCTTGAGATTCCGTCCGGACAAAAATTTCGGCGGGCCCTTGGACTAAAAAAAATAAAATTTGATGAGCAGAATGGGAAAACTCCGCTCTCCACTCTGACCGCCTTCCTTATTGAGCCAACCCATGGAGCTTAATTAATGTTGCTCACCGCCTGCCTATTAAAGCCCATCCGCGTCACGAAAAGCGCACGTCGCGCGCCCAGGAGATTTCGAGCCTGCATTTCTTCGCCCTGCGGCCCTACTGGCTCCACCGGCCTTCTCTCTCGAGCCCCATCTCTCTCTCTTTCTCTCCTCTTCCCTTCCCTTTCCTTCCCTCTCTTCCCCGTGTTTTGGTAGAATGACTTTGTGTTTCCATTGGTCTTTGCGGCACAATGGATGGCAGTCTTGACCTTCCCCAAGTACCTCGATCTGAGCCGGTCTTCCCCCCAACGTCCTTCCAAGAGATCCCTTCGTCCCCTCCGTCTATAGCATCCGATGCTGGAATCCGCCGCAAACCGAAGAAACCTCCCCCGGTGACGCCTCGCTCGTTTAGAAGATTTTTTACGCCTCGTTCGATGCTTAATGGCGGAAACAACTCTGGGACTGTGAGGACGAGCCGTCAGGCCTTGAAGGCACTGAGTTCACCGGCCGTCAACCGCTTGGGTCCGGCTTTCACGAAGACACTGAAGGCCGTTGGATCTCGGCCTGACCCGGCAGAACTTCTGCGGACACCGACGAGGAAGAGGAAATTCTCATTCTCGTCCATTGGTTCGCTTCAATCCTCACCTCTGAGAAAAGTCCGTGCGAGGACTCCAGTCCAGGATGATGAGGAGGAGGTCGAAGTCGCCATTAAGGACTTCGATGTCCCCGCTGATACCCACGCCGTTGAACCGAAGTCGCTCGCTGTCGCAAAACCACAACGGCCCGTCCAATTGGTCCGTCGTTCCAAGGCCCTGCAGACCTCGGGCGGACTGTACATGAGAAGTGTGCACGGATCCCAGGCGAACCGAGTGACTCTACGATCCAATACCGGAGCCGGTTTGTTACCACGTATTGTGCTTGCTCTCTTTCTTGTCTAACCACTCGAAACGTTGTTTAGGCTGGCAGGATCTAACTTCGAACTTCTACTCCCAACCCTCCGATAGCTATGCCTGTGCCAGTTCCACGGGGGACCGCCTTGCACTGCCGTTTTGCACTGCGTCCTGCAATAGTGAGTCGAATTGGTCTGGTTGATAGTCGAAAGATCTCGTACTAACTTTTTGCCAGCCAATAGTCTTGTCGCGATAGGCGATGAAGAAGGAGGGATTCGACTTGTGGACTCCGCCAAGGATGACAAAACCGGATTCTCCAAAGCGTACCTCTCGTTCCGGCCCCATATGAATGCGATAATGGATCTGGAGTTCTCATCTGATGATATGCTTTTGGCCACGGCTTCGGGGGACCAGACAGCTCTGGTCATTGACATGGCCACTCAAACCCCCATTTATTGCCTATCGAATCATACGTCTTCGGTAAAGCGAGTGCAGTTCCAGCCAGCGGCCAATAACAAGGTTCTCGCGACCTGTAGCCGTGATGGCAACGTTAATATTTGGGATCTCCGTTGCAAGGGGTTTGAAAGACCGTCTTTGCAGGTCCGCTGTTCCCTCGAATCGGAGGCTGATTACCCGGCTGCCCCAACTACGTCCAAAATGACCTATCCCCAGGTCTTGAACACTATCCATGGGGCGCATGCGTGGATGCCGCAGGCATCCGTGTCGGATAAAGCAGAGCCACAGATTGGCCGCTCGGACATTACTGTGACCTCGTTGGCTTTCCTGCACCCCGGCCGCGAGAATCTTTTTGTCACGGCGTCTGAAGCCAACGCCTGTGTCAGATTATGGGATCTCAGATCGGCACATCACAACCGTCGTGGCCGTCCCGTCCTCCCGCTTTCTACTACCCGGGAGCCGGACAGCCACATCAAGTATCGACGATTTGGACTTACCTCAATGACACTCGGTGGGGATGGCTCACGACTTTACACATTATGTCGAGACGGAACCGTTTACGCTTACTCCACGTCACACCTCATCCTCGGACATGCCCCAGAGCTTTCATTGAACAACAGCCGACCCCGGCGCTCAGGAGGCTCTGATAAAGAAGGCCTTGGCCCCTTATACGGGTTCCGCCACCCACGGCTGCAGGTCGCATCATTCTATGTAAAGGCCGCGGTCCGCAAAGCCTCCGGAGACAAGCCCGAGATGCTTGCTGTCGGAAGCAGTGACCACTGCCCCGTACTATTCCCCACCGATGAGAGGTTCCACCATTCGTCACCCCAGAAGCCGCCCACCACGGACGGAGAGGATCCGCTTCCCCAAATGCCGTTTCCCTCCACCCGCTCTGGCCTCCGCCGTACAAACTCAGGCGTTGGCTTATCCGGACGGCTCGAAGACACCGTCCCGATATACCAATCGGGGACTCCCCTAGTCGAAGGCCACAAGAAAGAAGTCTCAGCCGTATCTTGGACCGCTGACGGCGAACTGGTCACCGTTAGCGACGACTACAGCGCCCGATGCTGGCGCGAGGGGCCCGAGGCGCGAGATCTACGCACAGGCGGGGAAGCAGACGGACGGAGATGGAAGTCCGGGTGGGCCGATACCAAAGACTCGTACGATGACGACGAGGAATGAGTCTTCATCCTCACACCCATGCTTGTGTGATCGATTCTTACTACCGTCTTTTCTTTCTTTCTTTTCTTTTCTTTTTGCATGGAAGGCATTGCGGGCGTCACGGCACGGATATTCCTTTTTGAATTAGCGGGCGTTTTTCATCATGGGCCCGTTAGGGCTGCGGATTTTTCTACCTTTTAACTGCTTGACTTTGATACCTACCAGGCATACCATATCATATACATAGGTTGCATAGCGCGAGAAAAATAATCGGTGCCGGGGTGGCATGTCTCGTTTTGATATTTTCACCTTGTAGATTTTGTTGTTGGTCGGCTCTACTCTGACTTCTGGTTGAGATGATAGCATATTCATTAGGATGCGGAGTAGGGGTGTTACCAGAACTGGTGAGCCTGTTGCGTAGTAGCCGTTAGACTGGATAAGAAGAAACTACGAGGGAGGTTGGGGGTTAATTGGGGTTGTAGCCCAGGACCAGCTTGTCTATGCTATCCTCGGCGAGATGACGAGATCACTACTACAACGACAGCAGAGAGAGAACCCGGTAAAAGAACCAAAACTGAAATGAGCAAAGCGAACAGTTGTGGATTCATGTTCATTGCTATTAACTGAGTACTTTCTAACAAATGTACGGTGGGGTGCACATTACAGTAAAGTGAAGATTTGGAGACTCATTAACACCTTATTAAACTTTTCTCTTTATCTTTCAAATCGAATCTAAGTATTCCATGAAGGCCCAAACCAGTCGTTATAGCTGAAAAGGAAACACAAAAAGAAGAGCTTCACCCCGTATGCTCTACCTTTAGTGACCGTGTCCGTCATCCTGCCTCTGCTCCGGGTCCAGCTTGATGATCGTGTCGATGCGCATGATGGAGATGCAGGCCTCGACGGCACTCTTGAGCTGCTTGATCTTGCCCATGCTGGGTTCCAGCACGCCTGCCTTGAGGGTGTCGTGGACGCGGCCCTTCGATAGATCGAGGCCGTAGTTGCGGTAGGTCTTCTTCTTGGCGATGGCCTTCTCTTCTTCGTTGGCGTCGCCGTCCTGCACCCGCTGGGAAAGGGCGTGGCGGACTCGGAGCTGGGCGACCAGCTCGGAGGAGTCCTTGGCGGCATTCACGGCCAGGGTCTTGGGAATCACGAGGAGCGACTGGGCGAATTCGCCGATGGCGAGTTGCTCGCGGGAGCCCTGTTGTTGAAGTTAGAAAAGAACATCCGTGAACCAGGCTAGCGGAATAAGGGCAAGACATACCACTGTGACGGCGAATTCTTCGAGATAGATGTGAAGGGCCGTCTCGACGGCACCGCCACCGGGGACGATGCTGCCACTCTCCAGAGTTCGCTTGACGGCACACAGCGAATCGTGGACTGAACGCTCCATCTCGTCTAAGCTGAAATCGTTGGGTCCTCGGAGGACAATGGACGCCGCGGTGTGGACCTTGGTGCCCTTCACCAGGATACACTCATCGTCGGATACCCGCTCTTGAACAACTTCATCCGCATGTCCCAAGTTCGAGGCCTCGAACTTCTCGTCTCCGTTGAGATCGGAGAGCGAGCTGACCAGGGTGGCCCCGGTAGCCTTGGCAATGCGTCTCAAGTCCTCCTTCTTGCAGCGGCGAACAGCCATGGCTCCCTTCTCAATGAAGGTCTTCAGCACCATGTCGTCGATACCCTTGGTGGTGAAGACGACATTCGCCCCCGACTTGAGGATCATCTCAACCCGCTCCAGGACGATACCGGACTCCCGCTCACGGATCTTCTCCAGCTGGTCAGGATCCTCGACGGTGATCTGAACGCCGAGCTTCATGCGCTCCTTTTGCAGGTTCATGTCCAAGCAGGCAATCTTGGCATCAGTTATCCGGGTCTTCATCGCCTGGGATGCAACGGTGCAGTTGAGGGCGTAACCGTTGACGAGGAGGGATTCGGTGCTGCTCTTTCCGTGGGCCTTGAGCAGGTTGACAGCCTTGACGGGATACTTGATCTCGCCCCTCTGGTTCGCCGATTTCACCAACAGCATCGCATCGACCACCATGTTTGCGAAGAAGTCCGCATCCGAACCGATGATCTTACTGGACATGGAGGTATTGGCGATGTTTACCAAACTATCCTTCCCCAGCGTCTCGACCTTGGAGGTGATGTTCTCGTTCATGTACTTCACGGCCTCTCTCAGGGCCAGTCTGTAGCCATTGATGATGGTCGTCGGGTGGATACGGTTCTTCATCAGTTCGTTCGCTCGTCGGAGGAGTTCGGCGGCAATCAGGACCACGGACGTAGTGCCATCGCCGACCTAATCAGGGGAATCAGCACGGAGCCGGAAACCGGGTGGTTTGGGGATAAAAACTCACCTCCTTATCCTGTTGTTGGGCCAGATCCACGAGGATCTTGCCAGCGGGGTGCTCAATGTCCAGAAGACTGAGGATAGTAGCGCCGTCATTGGTCACCGTGACATCCTACAGATAGCTTCGTCAGGAGAGAGCTCGATTGAAGAGCGCGGGGTCGGAACGGAGAGCGTACACCGATATCATCCACCATCATCTTATCCAGACCGGAAGGACCGAAAGAGCTCTTCACGACATTTGAGATCGCCTGAGTTGCCAGGACTGTGAAGAACGAGAGAGATTAGCGAACTGCGATCGTAGGAGCATGCGAAGGATGCATAAGATTGACCTACCATTCTGTTCGCGGACATCGGTGCCGGTGATTTTCTGCCCACCCAAGACTGTGCGTGGATTATTTCAGTCAGCGGGGGAGACATTCAGGAGGGGGTAAGTGGGGGGAGGACTGACAGAGAGTGTCCGCATTGCGCGGAGCCTCGAAGATGCCTGCCATAATCTAAGAAACAGACGGAGAGGGAGGATGGGGAGGGATGGATTGGTGAGGTGAAGAGGAGGGGGGGAAAGAAGATGATGAGGTCGTCTCTTGTCCGTCTGTTCTGTCTCTCAGGCTGTTCTTGGCCGATAGAGAGTTGAGCATAATTATGTTTTGGCGCTAACCGTTCTGCCGCCGCCGGGCGGTGAGCCCCTCTCGCGCTTCCCCATCGGGAAATTCGATTCCATCCCACTTTTGCCGCACGAGGGGCTTCTCTTCTTTCCCACACCGTTTGCTTGTCACCTCGTTCTCCCTTGACCACGCGCTTTCGTTTTCTTCTCTGTCAGCCGCCCCTCCGTCAAAATGGCAAGCCAGTCCGCCGACGCCTCCATGGCCTCTGACGCCCAAACCCTGCCTGATCGCACCCAGAACCCCGCTGATAACGCCCCCGCGGGAGAGGTCTCCAAGAACGCGGCGAAGAAAGCCGCCAAAGCTGCGAAGATGGCTTCCGACAAGGCCGGTAAGGCCGCGAACAAGGGGTCGGGGAAGCAGGAGAACAACAAGCCTGCCGCAAAGGCCTCCAAGAAGAAGGCTGACGGTGCCGCTCTGATCGGCATTGATGTGACCAAGGAGGAGGACTTCCCCGGCTGGTACCAGCAAGTCCTGACCAAGGGTGATATGCTGGATTACTATGATGTCTCGGGGTGCTTCATTCTCAAGGTAAATGACCCCGGTGGATTTGGTGGCCTTTGATGCGGGCCTCTTTGTTGTTATCGACGTTTACTGACGCTACGAGTTTTAGCCTGCCTCGTTCTCGATCTGGGAGGAGATCCAGCAATGGTTCAACACGCACATCAAGAAGATGGGTGTCAAGAACTGCTCGTTCCCTCTGTTTGTCTCGGAAGATGTGCTGCAGAGAGAAAAGGATCACATCGAGGGCTTCGCCGCCGAAGTTGCCTGGGTGACTCACGCGTAAGGCTCCGATACCATATCTTGGATATACCTTCCTCCTGTATTCGTATGGCGTACTAACGTCATTGTCGTGAACAGTGGCTCCACCCCTCTGGAGAAGAAGATTGCGATCCGTCCGACTTCGGAAACTGTCATGTACCCATACTACTCCAAGTGGATCAGAAGTCACCGTGACCTTCCCCTCAAGCTCAACCAGTGGAACTCCGTCGTGCGCTGGGAGTTCAAGAACCCCCAGCCGTTCTTGAGAACCCGTGAGTTCCTGTGGCAGGAGGGCCACACTGCCCATTTGACCCAGGACGCTGCCCATGAGGAGGTCATCCAGATCCTGGACCTGTACGCCCGCATCTACGAGGAGCTCCTGGCCGTTCCCGTGGTCAAGGGTCAGAAGACGGAGAAGGAGAAGTTTGCCGGTGGTGCCTACACCACCACCGTGGAGGGCTACATCCCCTCCACTGGCCGTGGTATCCAGGGTGGTACCTCTCACGGTCTTGGTCAGAACTTCAGCAAGATGTTCAACATCACCGTCGAGGATCCCTCCGCCAAGAGCGACGAGAAGAAGCCCCCTATCCACGTTTGGCAGAACTCCTGGGGTCTCTCGACCCGCACCCTGGGTGTCATGGTCATGATTCACAGTGACAACCGTGGTCTGGTGCTCCCTCCCCGCGTCGCTGAGACCCAGACCGTCATCGTCCCCGTCGGCATCACCGCCAAGACGACCGACGAGGAGCGCCAGAAGCTGTACGCCGAGATCGACGGCCTGGTCGCGGTCCTCGACGCCGCCGGCGTCCGCGCCGTCAGCGACTTGCGCGAGGGCTACTCCCCGGGCTGGAAGTTCAACGAGTGGGAGCTCCGTGGTGTGCCTCTGCGCATCGAGTTCGGCCCCGGCGAGTCCGCCGGCCACTTCGTCACGGCCGCCCGTCGCGACATCCCCGGCAAGGACGGCAAGTCGACCGTCCCGATCCCCGAGCTGTCGACCGCGGTCCCGGCTCTCCTGGAGACCATCCAGGGTGACCTCTTCAAGCGCGCCGACAACGAGTACAGCACGCACCGCAAGATCATCACCAACTGGGAGGAGTTCACCCCGGCCCTGAACAGCAAGAACGTCTGCATGATCCCTCACTGTCTCACGGAGGAATGTGAGGACCAGATCAAGGACATGAGCGCCCGCAAGGCCGAGGAGGAGACCGGCTTGGCCCAGGACGCCAAGGCCCCCAGCATGGGCGCCAAGTCCCTGTGTATCCCCTTCGACCAGCCCGAGGGCATCAAGAAGGGCGAGACCAAGTGTGTCAACCCCAAGTGTGACCGTCTGGCAGAGAAATGGTGCATGTTTGGCCGTACGTATCCCCTCAATCAGCTACCAATCCCACACATAACGAAAACACCTACTAACGATAATGATTCATTCAGGTTCCTACTAAACACGACTTAGCTATTCCACATATAGAGAGAGAAGCTATTTTACTTTACCTACATTAGCATGGTTGCTATGAGACTTATGAATTTTATTCTGTTCTTTTCTTCTTCTTATTAAAATTTTCTTATCGAATCCCCTTTTTACGACCATTGTATATGTTTTGTTATTTCGACAAGATGCGAGAATTCGCCTAGGGAGGAGAGAAGAGTCATGTGGAACGTATCATCTGAAAGATAGCGTGTGTCAAGCATAAGAATCTTTTGACATAGGATAAATCTCTAGGTACCTACAATACGAGCTAACCGAATTGAATGAATGAACGAACGACGAACGTCAAGTTGAAAAAAAACTTTGTTAAATCAAGTAAAACCATCCGAGAGCTAAATTCCATGGAAAAAAAAGTCACCGAAAATCGCTAAGTAAGCTGGCTAATAACAGGAAAACCGAAATGCATGCATGCAATGTAGATAATTGAAGAAAAAGAAAAAAAGAAAAGGTCAAGAAGCCCCAATGAACGAAGGAGGTGTGGAAGGTAGGAAGGTAGGAAAAAAGGAAATGGGAAAGATTGGTAGTGAGTGAGTGAATGTCTGTGAAGAGTGAAAGGTTTGAAAAAGGAAAGGCTGCGCTGGAAGCGTCGATGATGATGGTGATAAGACACAAGGAAAAGGAGGTATGTGGAGGATGACTGGTTACTAAAAAAGCAACGATGGGATGGTCAATAACCATATTGATCACCTATGCAAAGAGAGAGAGAAAGAGGATGGAAATGAGGTTTTTGAGAGGTCCAAATGGGGCTTCTTGAATGCAAAGTAAAGTTGATCCTTGGATCAATAGGTCTCAACCGAGCGCGTATTCCGAACGAGAGGTATGCGTCTCGTAGATGAGCTGGCCTCTGAACCTGCAGTGGCAGAACCTTTGAGGCTGACGCTTCGACCGGAGTTTCGCGGCCAGTTCATCAGCTTATATGCAGTTCGCGGGGTTGTATTTTCAGCAACGAAGACGACATTGTTCTCGTCGACACCGTGGATCTGAAGCTGTGGGCTTTCGATACTGGGTAATTGAATGACTTCTTCATCGTCGCTATCGTCAGCTGGGAACCTGGGGCGGTTGCTGTTCAGAGAGGGTGAGGTTTGCGCGCGCATGTAAAAGACGGAAGGGGTTTTATGCAAGGTTTCGGACATGCCGTTGGACATAGAGCCAATGGGTTGTTGGGCCTGTCCAAGGTTGCGACTCGCTCCTGAGGCTTTCCGTGACCGGGTCCCAGTAGGTGGCTTCTGTGTTCGGTGTAGCAAGTCCATGTAGGTTATTTGCTCTTCGGACTGCTTGGCGCTAATTCCCTGATGACTAGGGTCTAATGTGTCGAAGAATCCTGGAGAAGGGGGAGGAGCGTCGGTGTGTCTGCGTCGACCGCTAGACTCAGAGGTTCGTCGGGACATAAGAGAGGGGACGCTTGTGGAGATACTCTGGTGCAGCTCTGAGCCTCTTCGGTGTCTCTTGAAGGAGCTCTTTTGGATCAACTTGGAGAGTTGGCTGTCTTTTAGGGAATGAGCCCGGTCCATGCTCGATTGGGAGGAACCTCCGCTGCTGAAGCTTCTGTCGAACGAATCCTGATAAGGAGAGGGAGTAAAGGGAGGACCAGGTTCTGGAACAGGCACACGGCGAAAGGCTTCGTGGGAGTTGATCTCCCGGACGATAGCATCCTGCAGAGTTTCGAAGGTAGGGTGTGGCGTGATGGCGTGGGTAGAGGTGTACGCTTGTTTGAACATGTCCATGATCTCCGCAACCTTTTGGTTAGCAGATGGTAAAGCGGAGATTGGTGTTGGAGTTGATGCTAGCAGAGGACTATTCATAATCTCTGCGATGCTAGGGTTTTGCTTCGTTTCTAAGGAGCTCGGGGTCGGCGGCTGTATGGAGCGGTGCGTTATCTTCGTAACGGACTTTTTTTGCGAAGCCAATTCCGTATCGATAGAAAGATCCCTAACATTCTTCTTTACACCAGGCCTTGTGGAAAATGATGGCGCGCGATTGCGCGACCTCACCTGAGGTTCTGGGCTGGAATCCGAATTGGATGATGTTTCCCGCGTAGGTTTACTTTGTTTCATGCTCGCACCACGCCTCGTCTCGATAGGCAACGTTGGACTGTCCGGGAAAGGCATGATGCTCCACGTGCTGCCCCGTTTATAGGGAGCAGGAACACCAAGCAAGCCAGCCCCAGAGCTCGGTTGAGGGTTTTGTACAGAAGCAGTATCTGGGGCTGATAAATTTGGCGCTGACTTTTGAGGCCGAAGTGGGGGTCTCCCGACGCCCGCGTCCCTTGCATTTGCTCTTTGTTCCGAGACAGGGACGTTGAGGTAAATGGATTGGGTATCTTGGTTGGTTGTTTGGCCTTCCCTTGTTCGAGAACGCCGCCGACTGTTTGTCTCCGTTGCGAGATGTCCCGAGTAGCTAGTCTGTAGGTTACGGCTCTGTGTTTGAGAGCTCTTACTGCGAGACAACGGACTTGTATGGTGCCGTCCCTTGGTAAGGTTTCTGTCGGACGCATCTTCTTGATGTAGGACGGATAATAATCGCGAGTATAGATTCTTTTTGCGGGGCGGTTTTTGGAGGAAACGGGTCATGTTTCGTTCGGCAATGTCTTCATTATAAGGGGTGATCGGAGACATATTCCTGGTAGGCTGCATCTGATACCGATGGGAAGAGAACAAGGCATCGAGAAGATCGACATGACGGGGTGTCCGTTCCGTAGGACGAGTCGAAGAGCGAGAAGAGGCTGTTGGCAGTCTCGTCGGCGACATTGGCCGCGTCTGAAATTGATCATGTAGAACTTCGAACTGTTTTTCAATCTGTTGAAAATCACTTCTTGCTTCCATGGGTTGCGGAGTCTTGTAGGCCAACGGTTGGAACTGGTTGCATGCTAGCGGGCTCTCGGGCCCAACATCCCGCTCCCCTGTAGAACATATTGATATGCCTTTATCCGCATGGAAGAACCGTTTCAGAGCCACCATATTCGATTAGGCGTAGGGGCGCGAGGCTATCTGCATGGCAATGCTGAGCCCCTAAATTGCGAGAAAGTAATCCTGTGATTGTGTGTAATGCGCTTTCTGGCTGCTGACAGGAGGTATACTTCCAACAAGAAAGCTAGGTAGGGAGGCTTTGAGAATCGAGAAAAGGTAAGGAGTAAATAGGGAGCGGGGGACGGTCAGAGTCCAACAGGTGGTGGATCAAAACCTTATAGGGATTGGATAGATAGAGTTGAAAGAGAGTAGTGACCTATGGATTGACGATAGCATTGAGATGCTCACGTGCTCATGTGAGCCCGAATTTGCCTTCACGATATATGCCCATTGGAGACAAAGGAGGGGGAGAAGAGGGAAAAAGGGAATGGAAGAGAAACAAGATTGGTCCGGAGGGGCAAAGAAGTAAGGAAATAATTTGCAATCTCAGGTGTCTAGTTCGCAGATCCGATACCTGTTCCTGGATCAGGGGGGCAAAGATAGTCTAGTCTCCAGGATCCATCGTGACGGTGTGAAAGACAGAAAGATGGGGCTGAGCCGATGGACGGCTGAGGGAAGAATTTACGGAGAAGCACGTCCGATCACAAAGGCGAAGACCAATAAGACTGTGGTGACCTAACCCTGACCCGCATCAACTCGTCCGATGCGCTTTTTCTTCCTCGTTCTCTGCCTTGCTCTGGCCGTTATGAGCCGACGAATAAGCCCGTTGCGCGCTACAACAGGCCATTGTTGTGTCCAACGTGCAGTGGCACGGCCCTAACGTCTATCTTGCATAGTGTGCTCTAGGATGTCCAGGTTCTTCCACTTGACAGCGATACTATTGAAATTTGATCTGCAGGTGCTGCCATTGAATCCGGTCACGTCCACGCCAATGGCGTCGCGGGTGGATATCGAGACGGATGATGGATACCGGTTGTATTGAACGTGTGGCCCCACGACGTGGTGGATCGTTACTCCCGAGGGAACTTGTGTTGGCCCGGCTGGACCACTCCTGGTCAGAACAGCTCTTGGGGCCAGACAGCTTAGGGACCCTCGGGGATTCAAAGGTCTGCCAGTCGCGAGCCGGGAAATTGCACATTATGGAGCCCGCACACTCTTATGAAATTAGCGGATGCGAGATGGACCTTTTTATTGGCATATCGGGAGGGATCGTCCGAGGACAATGAACCGTATTGCTTAGCGTGATGCATTCGCGAGCCGAGCTTCCACCATAATTTGAGCGCACTAAGCACAAGATAATAATACGGAGTAATAATGAAAGTAAAGCATTAATGATGATCCATTCAGCCTTGGACCTTGGGGCCAAATCAGGACTGTGGATATTGTATCTAAAATAGCTCGGTGGCCGTTGGTTGGGTGTCAAGTTTGAGGTGTCAACGATGGCACAGGTAGAACTCTCCCTGAAACTCCGTCCTGGTTGTCTTCATGTTCCTCTGAATAGCGAGGATATGGCATCCACAAGTTGCGTCATCTGTTTTGTGTGGTTGAGAGAAGACTTACGTAGCTCCTGATGCACCATCACCATTCACCAATGTGTAAGCCGTTCCCTACTCCAAAGGGAGAAAGGATCGAACATCATCACCCAGAGCTCCAAGAAAGCCCAGATGAAGCGCCGATAGCAGATAGGTCCAATCTCGATTGAGAGCCCAATCGAAATGGATCTCAAGGGAAAGTTGGGAACCAACGAAAAGACGCAGGAAGGAGACAAAGAGACTTGGCGGTCAGCATGGGAACTAAAGAGTCAAAAGTACTGCCCGGGAAATTACACCGCCATGGCCAATAGTTTACCGTGCTTGTCTCCTGCTAGTATCAACAACCCCGTTTTAGGCTTCAGCCATTTTTGCCTCCCCCTGACACTAAAAGCTGTGCACATGCATACTTGATCTGCGCATTAGACGGTTTGAGAGATGGGATCGTACTCCAATGGCTGGTGCAGGCAGATATTGTCAGAACCTCCGTGAAAGATCTCAATTGACAGCAGTTCGGGACTCCCCCTGAAAACGGTTGATATTGGATATTCATAAAGAGAACACCGAGGAGGAGGACCGCAAATAATTACCGGACTCATTTATACAGGGAATCGACTAAAGCGCTCTATTTGGATCGACCATGTCCTCCCGTGACCCGTCCTTGTTCCAAGTCTACCAGTACTAGAGGATCTCTAGTGGCGGGATGGGCAATCTCTCCACGAGTGTCTCCCCTTGTTTCCTCCCTATCGACCCGATCGACAGGACCGGTCGATGAACAGGCGGACGGGGTTGGCTCAGATCACCCCGACTGACGGCTGGGCCAATTTCATTTAATTCTATTTGTGAACTGCACTGGCGCACAAGCTAACAGGGTTGGACATTTCCACTATCGATCTAACAAGCCCGGGTTGGCGGTCGTTGATACCTCCGGGCATAAAACAAAGAAAAATAAAATGAATTACACATATTACGCCGGTGATCCAGGCTCTGTGACATTGCGGGCTAGGCCGCCTGCGATCTATCTACTTTGCATGACGCGAGCTACACCGTCCTTACAACCTCTCCAGAGTAGTCAAGGAAAAAGGGGATGAATGTGTTCCCATGTCAATGGATTTCAATGCCCAGGGCCGCATCCTGGATCGTCAAAGCCGGGTTTTGCTCTATCACAGTCCACCAGTTCATGAGACGATCAGATGCCCCCCTTCCCCCCCTCCCCCCCCTTTAACGCAAAATCAAAATTTCCATGTACGCGTCCAACATCCCAGGACGGCATCTGTACACCGTAGATTCAGAATCTGACTGCATCGGGGTTTCTCAAAGCGGCTAGCACGGTGTGACTCGAGAGTTTGCCGAACAGCTATCACACACAGTTGACGATGGAAGAAACAGACAGCGGCATGCTCTTCCGGTCAAATAATAACGAATAATCTTCCTCGAGGGAAAAAAAGACAAGGTAACTGATTGCATCTTGCATCTCATCACACGATTTATGGGGAAGCTTTGCGTATGAAGTACATCATCGTACCTCTCACACCGGGACTAGTTTCCATTGTGACTCACAAGCACAACTCAGAAGCACTTGCATACATAGTACACCATACGGAGTACACCACGAGGGGAGGAGGGGTTGCTTGGACCCGATCTACAGGGTTACCCCTTGCGATGCGAGATGCGGTGGGCACAGACTAATGCCGCCCATGCATGTACATACGGTCACGTGGACCATTATTCATGCTTTCCTTCACGATGGACTTACAGCAGTAAGAAGCGTATCTAGTAGTACCGGAGTAACATTGAGCTGCAAAGTTGCTAGCTAGCTACCGATCCCTCCGCATTGAACTTGTCAGTTATGCTTACACCCTCCCCAACAAAACCGGACAGTCTGACTTGTGACCATCTCGTAACATCACATCAATCCATCTCTTTAAGCAGTCTCAACAGTCTCCCTCAATTGGCCTCAACATCCTCGCTCACATAGTCGTCGGCGGGAGACTCAGTCTTGGAAAAATCCTTCCCTCTCTTCAGCAGGCGACGCTTCTTGGGGATAAGTGCGTCAGAGTCAGATGGCTCCTTATCCTCGGACTTGGCGGCCTTCGGGTCGGCCTTAGCATCTTTGTCGACGGCGGTGTCCAGGGATTTTCTAAGGCGACTCATGCGCATACGCGCGGCACCTTCGGTCATGTTGGTGGCCTTGGCCACGGCCTTGTAATCCACCTGTTGATAGTTAGCATAGTTCTTATACCGGCTCACTAGTCCCACTTGCACGTCGTCCACTTCGGAAGACCCTAGGGCTTCTTTGTCTCTGACTGCTGTACGGGGGTTATATATGGGTAGATGAAGACTTACACTTCCCACGCTGTGCTTGATTACCGCGTAGAGAAACTTGTGGTTCGAGTCAGTTCTAGCAGACATTTCGGCGGTTTCAGTGATGACAGTGGGTGTTCAATAGATGTGCTGTAGGATGTGGAGTCAACGTGAAGATGGAGAGCTAGGTACAGCGTTGTGAAGCAGTGGGAGGGGAGGAGGTTGGTTGGGGAAGAAGAAAGAAAGATTGCGTGAGAGTGCTGGAAGTTTTCACCACGAATAACAAACAATATCTCACTACCTGGTGACCTTTGCACCAGATGTGAATCATTCACCCAGGTCGTCAACGATGGGAGAGGTCGTCATGACGATGTCGCCGAGACGCAGTGGCAGCGGACGGAAAGATGAGAGGGTGGGGGAATAGAATAACAGCAGCCCATTGACAGTGCAGTGCTCGCAGAAAATAAACAGAAGAGAGAAGGGAAACAATGTTCTTGAATGACTGATAAAATTGGTCTCTTTGTCTGAAATTCATTAAGTAGTGGCCGCATCTACTGGCAAGCCGGAATGCCGCGCTGCGGATTCTCTCACAGCCTCTGCCAGGACCGTATGCGCACCCCGAGCTGCATCCACCGCTCCATCTATCAAGGCGTCATGCCCCGAGCGGCTATCGCCTTTTTCCAATGACACACTTGAGCTGTCCCCCTTCAGCCATAGCTCTGTGATCTCATCCCGTGAGGGCATATATGCGACTACACAGGCCGACAGGATAGCCTTGTGCTCCGCTGGGTCCGTATCCAGCATTAATTTCGGGCTGGAAGCGTCACCCTCCGCGGTTTGATCCGAGACCAGGGCTGCGACGCCCCCAGTTACCAGGTCAATACAGTCGATCCGGGCATCGGCAATCGCTGCAGATGCAGCCGTGATACACCCAGCCAGTACATTCATCATCCCCCAGGGAGCGTCATGCGAGTCCGGCGTATCACCCCACCAGCGATCATCCTCGGCCTCCAGAATTGTGATGGTGATGTCCAGCCCACTCTTCGGCCATCGTTCAGCGACAATCACACCCCTGAGAGCAGTTTCTAAGTGTACCCCGAGATCACGCTCGCTGGAATCGCGGATATGCCCTTTTCTCGTCCGGGCCGCGAACGGGGCGTATTTGACGTGCGTCGTTAGGACCAAGTTTGGTGAGAAGGTGGCAGATCGCGGCAGCGGCTTAGGCCCGTGAACTGTGCATGCGAGCTTCAAAGCTGAGGAGGGAGGAATTAGAGACTGAGGTGATGAGCGTGCGGCGGAGAGGGAGGCGGATGGTTCGAATTCAAGATAGGCGGACCCCGAAGCAGAGGGAATGAGACCAGTTTTCAGGACTGCAGTATAGATGGGTCAGCATTGCTTTAGTGTCATTAACCACGTAAGGACACTCTTACACAGTTTGCGCAGGTCGTTCGGCTGTCTTTGGCGCTGTGGTCTTCCACTGGCCTTGGTGGACGACGCAAAGACCGGAGGCTTCGTGCCGCTGGGCGGGCCATTGATTCTTTTTCGGTCAGCCATCGCCTTTAAATAAATACGCCCCCGGACAATTCTAGATTTCGCGACACGCCACGAAAAGTCTTAGAAGTAAGGAATAAGCTATTGTGTCTGTCGCAGGAGCTGTTTGAGAATCCTCTCGAGCTACGGTGGAGGCTCGAAACGGAAATCTACAATTTTGAGGGATGTTTGTCCTGTTTGTCCAGCAGCGGGAGTGGAGTCCATTTTTCTCAGGCCTTTTTAAGCCGAGTTTTTCCTCGCTTCTTCCTCTTCTCTTCTCCTCTTCACTCCCACAATCCTCATGATGGGCTCTTGAAATGATGAGAGCTCCAGCGTGGATGATTTTGCTATCTTTTTTTTCAATAATATTCATACTGCTAACTAAATAACTGTGAGTTTTTATTTCCCCTCAACTATCACTTCCACCATTCATTATTATGATGAATACTTTCCAAAAGTTTTGTTTCTGGCGACAAACAAATGGGCCATGAACACACATGCATCACCATCTGACAATAATCCCTCTCAAAATACTGTTGATACCAATTTGGGATTGTATCATTGTACTAACATGATATGAAGTATAGGAAATCACAATTGCTTGACATTGACTGTCGTTGGACTAATTGGTAAGATTCTCCTTGCTTTCTTTTATCCTCCCATGTACCGCGTGGGAATAAACACATTTCTATGATGAGAAACAATTTTCAGTTCTGCTTCTGCAAAAATATTGAAGATAACAAAATACCTTACCAAAAACTCCTGATCATTTTCAATAATCCTTCTTTATACAACTGCCATGCTATATTTGGAGCCGTTTTCTAACAGTTTCAAAAGACACAGGTTCCTCAACAAGTCAAGTCATTACATACCAACACCCCGTAGCACAGGTATGCAAACCAGACTCCTATGGCATATTTTTCCCGCGGCACCTTTATTATGATGACAACTAGTCAATCCATTCAATGATCTCCTTGGAGAACCGCCCCTCGGGCCCTCGCAAGCCAACAAGGCGAAGCAAATGAAGCACAACGACCCGTGATCCCTCCTCCCTCACTGGACCGCCGCTTAATCTTGTTTTCACAAGACGGAAGCGAATGGGAGGATGGTTGTGGAGTCGCTGGAGAGCGGACCAAGTCGTTGTCTTCGCTTTTGTCTCTGTTGGTCTTGCGCTGTGCTTGACTTGTGTCAGATTCCATGCTCTGGCAAGTCGTTCGTTTTGGATGGCTTGTTGGGGTGTGGAGACTGGCAGGGGAAGGGATGAATTAACCGGCTTGACTGATTCACCTCGTTGTAACCCTTTGGGGTTGCTTCGTTGGCTTGCTCTTTTATGCAATATCACTCAGACATGTGTTGGTCTTTGCTAACTGTCTGAAGTCTCCCAGGTCACTGTTTCGTAAACTAGAAATTATAATAGTCTGTTAGCAATCAATGCTCAGTTGTCCAATCATCAATCCATCTCCTCAATATACGTAAAAATTTAAGTAAATCAAAGTAATGAAGAAAAATAATTGTATTCAACTATATACCACGAAGCCAAAAAGAAAACAAGACACAATAAAATTTCACACCAACAAAGATCGACGGCCTTTCTGACGAGTCCATCTAATCAAATGTTATTTTTTTTTTGTCATTTTTCATTATTTTTTTTCTTTCTCGGGTTTCTTGTCGTCCTCCTCTTCCAAGGTCCTCCCCTTGTCTTTTCTTATTCTAGTCTGGTTTGTTTAACCTTGGACCGTCAATTCTCTCGACTTCGACAGTCCCTTTCAAACATTCAAATCAAGTCAAACCAGGGGACCAAGAAGATAAAAGAAAAAATAGGTAGGAGAAGGTGAAGAAGAGCCGAAATCGAGTCGCCCGGAGGCTATATAAAAAGTCGCCGCCTATATCCAGGAAGAGGTCATTCCCTCCCCAAGACAAGCAAGCAGACAGACATGCCAGTTCATTTCATTTCAACATGAGGTAAGAAGAAGAAGCACACAAAAGCTAATCGTCACATCACACATCATTTCGTTTGATTAGGCACGTCGGGGGTGTAGTAGTGGTGGTGTTCGTGGGATAGGGAGAAAAGGGGGAAGAGGCGGAGGGAGTGGAAGAGTGTCCCTGAGTTTGGAAGAGTAGTTTTTTATTTCTCTTCATTGGGAGTCGATGCGCCGTCTCTTGTCATGCTGTAGGGAGCCTTTGATATTGGAATTACTCGTTAGTTTTTTTCTTCCTTTTGATTCCCCATCCAACCCACAAGCATAGGATAAGGACTCACCAAAACTCTCTTCGCATTGCAGATCCGCCAGGCAAGGTTCCGAACCGTCCCGTCAGATCGTACTACCTCGGGCGCGAACTCGATACCGAACCTACACACCATTCGTTAGTACAATGTGGAGGAGACAGGGTAGCACAGATTATGTGAGGAGGGGTCATACATCTGATGCACGGCAAACACAACCCGCTTCGCGAATTTCCCATCTCGCTCAACCAACGAACCAAACTGCTCATCAGCAGTCTCGGGCGCAATCTCCGGATCGCGGTCAAAGCAGTTGCGCATAACAGGGAGCAGGCTCTTCTCGACAGCGGCTTGGGTGACGTCGTCCTGGCTCTGCAGCTCTTCCTCGTCGAAGCGGCGGATGCGGATCTCGAACGGTCTCGAGATGGCCATGACGTTGTGTTTCCCGTTGTGGTGGTACCGGAGTTCGAAGACGCCCTGGGTCCAGAAGAGCTTGTCGCCGGAGAAGAGGACTTCTCCGGTGGCTTCCTCGCCGTTGTTATCCGTCTTGCGGACGACGTCGCTTGAGATGATGCCCTTCTCGCAGGTCAGGTTGTCGTAGGATCCGGCGTTCACGGCGATCCAGCGGCCTTGGGAGGAAACGCGGGTGACTTCTCGCGAGGTGTTGTCGATGACCTTGTACAGGCCGATCCAGTCGCGTTTGCTGTGGTTGAGGGGTGCCTCCCATTTGACCTTGAGCGGGGATCCGTACTCGAATACCAGGGTCTTCAGGTCGCCGCGTCGGTCGAGCGGCATTTGGGCGTTGGCGCCCTCTCGGCCGCTGCTTGGATCGTGGACATCGGACGACGACGAGTCGGTTCCTTCAACCTCCAGGGAATACTTGCGCGAATCGTAGCCGGCCATGTCGGCGTCGATCCGGGAGATGGTCACACGAGCAGGGTACTTCTGGAACAGCGCGGTGGTATCCTTGACAAAGGTATTGACACCGGCGGCGAGCTTGGGACGGGCTGTGTCGATGATATCCTCAATGAAGTCAAACGACTCGTCAAAGATCTTGTCCACACTGCCGTGCAGTTGACGGAGCGAGGGGGGCAACGACCGTTTCAAGCTCTTCACCAGACCCGCATCCCGCCGCAGGCTCTGCCCGTACAACTTGTGCATGTGCGGGCGCTCAATGAACTGGATGAAAGCCAGGCTTAAGATGTGACTCAGGAGAGCCAGGAACGTGATGGCGCCACTGTTCGTGATCAAGACCGCTCCCCAGACGCCGGCCAGGCCCAGGACCCGCTCGGGATTGTTCAGGAAACGGTAGATGCCGTTGTAGGTTAACTTGGGGGACTCGTCATAGAAGAAGTCGCCGTAGAACCAGCCGAACTCGCCGAGGGACTCGTAGATGCTAACGGAGGTCCAGATCTGCAGGCAGATGAGCCCCACGCCCAGCACGTGTCTGAGCATGACGAGCCCATAGCCCCAGTCGGCAGGGACGGTGTACAGTTTCCATACGGCAGCGATAAAGCTGGCATAGCACATGATCATACTCAAGTGGTAGGTGCCCTTCCACTGGTTCCACGCCTCCTGGGGGCTTTCGCCGTATTTGACAAAATGCCGGGTCCAGGCCTTGGTGTTCGACTGGCGGTCCAGCAGGTAGCCAATACCCACGGAGAACACCAGTCGCCAGACGGCCGCGTTCACCACAAAGAGGAACTGGTACCACGGGGTGGAGGGCGTGAGAATGGTCACAGCGAATACGAGGAACTGTACGAGCATGGAGGATAGGTCGGTCGTCCGATACAGATCCAGATTATGAAGGCCGAGCAGACTGTGGACCGACTGCGGTGGGGTGCTATGGGATGGTGGCGCATGGGGCACTTGCTCGTCGGTCGGTGCGGTCGGGGTTGGCGCAATGGGAGAGTCTGCCGTCTGGGATGCGGCCGTGGCGGCGTCCTGGTCGGCCGTGCGCTTCCGGGGCGGCGGGGGGTTGTAGACCTTGTCGATGTGGGGGTTCTCCACGAGGACCAGGAAGGCGAATTGTGCTGCATGGGCGATGATGGAGATGAAGAGCACCTTGTAGCTGGCGGCCATGAGCGAGATACCGTAGTACCCGGCGTAGCCGACCGAATACATGGGGTGGGGCGCCATCTCAAAGACGCCGTCGAAGGTCAACTCCTGATCGATGAGATAGAAGAAGTCGCCCCAGTACCACGCGAAATCCTTGACGACGCGGTGAGCGTCCAGCTTGACCCAGAGGTTGAAGAGCACCAGGACGATGCCCGAGGCCCAGCGTAGGACGGTCATGATGGCGCTCTCGTTGACGGGGTGGTGGCTACATGCTATCGCAAAGAGACAGTATGATGTAAAATCGCACATCAGGATCAGATCCACGAGACGTCTAAAGACCAGCCACGTGTTGTACTCAATTGGGGCACTATCGAACGAGTAGTCGGCACGGATCTTGGTCTCCAGCTCCCGCTTGACCAAGTTGTACAGGGTGGGGTGCGGGTTTTGGCCGGTGGCCGGGTTCACAAAGATCTTGGTCTTCTCCGCCCAGCGGATCAGGGTATTGTGATGGGACTGGTTATGAAGAAGCCACCCAATCCCCGCATTGTAGCAAGCCCGCCAAAAGAGGTAGACCACGGCAAAGACGGGGACTTTGGCGCCCGCGGGGAGCTGCCACAGGAGAAGGATGTGGAATCCTAGAATCACCAACACCGCCACATCGGACAAATTCTTGGGCTCCGACGGCGACAGGAGTTGAGAGACCATGTCATGCGTCTGGGGGACCGTAAAGACTGTTCAAGAGCTTACAGTCAGCTACCTAGTCGACTCAGATGCGAGGGGGAATCCCATGAGAGGATGGTGACCTCCGGGAACGCCGCTGGCGCAATGGACGAGAGACCACGAAGGCGCGCAAAGGGAGATCAACCACCTACCTGT